TGATGACACATTTTCCAATATTATATTTATCAGTGTTAACTGGGAGCTGAAACTATTAACTGATGAATATTTTAAAGATTCTGGATGAAAAATTAAATCTTTACAACATGAATAAAACATTATTGGGTGACAAAAATTGGAAATATGTTACATGACATTTTATTGCTATCTAATTAATCATGTAAATGTCAGAACACATTGCTGTAGCATTTTAGTATTAATAAAACATATGCTGGGACTGGAATTAAGATTGGTGATTAGAAAACTACATTTGGCAATTTAAATTTTAAAAATTTTCAGTATATACTTAAATCAAGCTTATATATAGAGAGATGCACAAACAATTTCCCTATTATAAGTTTTCTGAGTGAGGGGATATTAACAGGAAATGTCGGCCAGCCTGACTATTTCCGACTGACAGCCAGTGACTATGCAAGCCTTGGAAAGTAGCACACAGAAAGAACACAGCTGGATTGAAACATCCATGCATGAATGATTCTGAAATTAGCCAGTAGGACAGGCAGTGGGAAGTATAGTTTTTGAGGAAATCGGTTTTGGATTCTGTGGTTTAGTCATACTCGGATTAATCTTGTCAGCTCAGCCGGATGATACACATAATACCTATATAAGATTTCTCATCACTGTCCAATTTTTAGAATTCTTCAGGTGGTCGGGACATCCTTTGTGTGTGGTGAGGATTTAACTATTTTACTGTCTACATGGCTAAACACACTGACGTTTCACTGAGGACTTTGGGACCTTATTCATAGATATGTATAGTTAACCTGTCTTTATATTTGTCTGTCAGTCTTTCTATTCTTCTTCTTTATCCAGCTTTGAACTGTAGCCTTAAAATCCTCTATCAGTCGAGACCTTTCCCTGTCCATTTTTCTCTTCTTCTTCATCCATAAACAACTCTGAACTGTAGCCTTAAAGTCTTCTTTATTTTTCTGTCTGTCTATCCAACAGTCAAGATCTTTTCCTGTCCATTGTTTTTTTTCTTCTTTATCCACAAACAATTATGAACTGGGGTCATTAAGTCTTCTATATTTGTCTGTCTGTCTATCCAACAGTCAAGGCCTTTTCCTGTCCGTTTTTCTCTTCTTCTTTATCCATAAGCAGTTTGTGACCTTCAGAATGCCTATATTTGTCTGTCTGTGCAACAGTCGAGACATTTTTCCTGCCCATTTTTCTCTTCTTCTTTATCCATAAGCAGTTTGTGACCTTCAAAACGCCTATATTTGTCTGTCTGTGCAACAGTCGAGACATTGTTCCTGTCCATTTTTCTCTTCTTCTTTATCCATAAGCATTTCCAGCGTGTGACCTTAAAGTCTTCTTTATTTGTCTGTCTGTCCATCAGTCTATTTGTTTTACTGTCCATCTTAGATATTTCTGTGCAACACAAACCAGGATATGGATTTGTCTTCTGTTGATTTGTGTGCTTAATTTCCTTCCTAAAACATGTATTTAATATTCTGTAACGGTTACATCAGTGTAACATAATCTGTATACATCTTTCTATCAAACCTTATTTATAAATTTGTTTGTGTTTCATAGGATGTTGTTCCTGATGCCTGTGTGATACTGCTTTGTGTAGGTGTTCTGGAACTCCTAGTTATATGCACACCTTCTAAGTTTAAATCTTGTCCATTTCATCCGGGGTCAGATCTGTTTCTGATTCAAACGTTTGTTTTGTACAAATATAATTATAAGGTTTGTCAATCACCTGAATTATATGGTTGTTTACAAGAAATGAAACTGATCACATACACTTACGTATGTAAAATGGGATGTGTAGTCAATGGTATGCTGATGTCATAAAGTGTGACAAAGACACATCTAATATAACCTCAGTTACCTTTAGAGTGCGTTTCAACGACAGCTGGTACAACACTGATGATAACCCGCTTTGTCTAAGGACTGGATTCTAACATGGTGATGTGTTTATTTTACCTGCATTTGATTATCTGCCTTTTAACATCAGGAAGGACCTGCAACTATTAGACAATGAGTGGCAGGCTGTAAGGGGTGGGGGGAAAGTGGGGGAGGGATCAGATGTTGAGGAGGAGTGGGGGGGAGACCTGAGCCATGAAATCAGAAGATGTTCAATTCAGACTTGGAGTCAGCAGATTATAAATAGCATTAATTTATAGATCTAAGCTTTACAATATATATAACAGGAGTATTTATAAGAATGTAGTACAATTTGTACATAACTGTAAGTCCTTTGTTTTGGAAACAGGATATCATAATATCCTGTTATCACAGAAACAATTTAAGGTATCGGAAGCTGTCACCCATACAACGAGGTGAATCAGATTTAAAAGGATGTGGTTTATATACAAGCTCTGAACAAATGCAATTTATATATTTAAGCCCATCATAGATGAATTATTGTTAAACTAAACATTTTTGTTGTGCAGAAATTTTGACCATATGTTATAAATGACAAAACTTTTTAACAAAGTTCATATTATGAACTAGTTGTCCAGTTTATCCAGTACAGGTGTCCATATTGTGCAGGGTCAGATAGAAAGTTGGAATGAAGGCCTGGTCTGTGTTTATTAGGCAGGATAATAATGAAATATATATACGATGACTGAGTTATAGAGGAGAACTTATACAATAGTTGGGACATAGTAGAAGGTCTGGTTTATACAGGTGTCCAGATTATACAGGTTTATATAGAAATATGTAGGATGGGACTCTGTGAAAGGTCTGGTTTATACAGGTGTCCAGATTATACAGGTTTATATAGAAATATGTAGGATGGGACTCTGTGAAAGGTCTGGTTAATACAGGTGTCCAGATTATACAGGTTTATATAGAAATATGTAGGATGGGACTCTGTGAAAGGTCTGGTCTATACAGGTGTCCAGATTATACAGGTTTATATAGAAATATGTAGGATGGGACTCTGTGAAAGGTCTGGTTTATACAGGTGTCCAGATTATACAGGTTTATACAGGGAACTGTTTGTTTTTGTGGACATTTATAGACATTTTAACTGTAACATTTCAAGTAATGATCAGTATGCACCAGGCTTCAAATCAATTAGTCGAAACTCCTCAGAAAGTAAAGTAAGGTCAGGAGGTCCACCCTTATTTTATACATAACCAGTCCTGGCCCAACTGGTCAAACTGATAATGATGACAGCTCCAGTATCCAGATTCACAGAGCTACATGAAAATGTATAAAGTAGGTCACATAATCAAAGGTTGGGTTTATACAGGTGTCCAGATTATACAAGGTTCTGTTCAAACAGGTGTTTGTGAGGATTTTATGCGATGGAATATAAAAATGTCACATTGTCATGAATTCTGAAATATTTACATAATTAATTACCAAGATGGCAGGCATGAAAGTGATCCACACTCCCATATGAAAAATATATACCTCTATATCTTGTTAGCTAGTGATATTTAGATGATTATGTAAACATAGGTGGAGATTAAAATATAGGTAAACATTAGGGTTATTTCAGTGTATCTTCACTGAGGTCACAGATAGATGTGAGAAGCATTTTTACGGCAGGTTGTCTGGATATAACGTAGATAATACTGATATACATGTAGAAATCTCTGTGATTTCTCACTTCCCACTATGAAAAATTTCTAATACAAGTAAGTGTAATTATATCTCTACTTAATTTGATACTGTTCAGTTATTTTAAATAATGTATATTTTATTAGAAGTAAAGTAGATTTTTCAGAATGAAAAGTTCTTCAGTTATTTAAGACCTAATAGGATTGGTCATCAAACATTGTATAATGATTCTGTTGACTGCCATTTTGCCTTGACTTTGGCAGGTACTTTTTAATTGTTTTTTTTTTTTTTTCATTCATTCATTCATTCATTCTCACCATTTTAGACATTTCTGTCCCTACAGCAAGCCTATAGTCTCAATGATATAAAAGCCGTACAGAGCTATGGTCCACCTGGGCTATGAACCATTCGTTATTAAACCTTCAGTGTCTTTTTTTTTTTTTTTTACATTTGAACACACACCTGTGGAAAATCTCTAGCCCTGGTGCAATTAAATTGCTTTCTGTGTATGGAATATCGCGTGTGCACAAGTAGGTTTTAAACACAGTCGTGTGTTATCACATACGAGCTGAGGTTTATCCACAATCAAAACACACATTTTGGATCTGGTCACACGCAATACAGATTTAAACTTGCCGAGCATGAAGATAAGGGACTATTAATAACATCATACTAAAATAGAGAATATATCTACCATTACAACCTTTTTTTATTCAAATCTGGATAGAATAAACAACAACATTGAAGGTGTGTATATTTCCATTTGGATGGAAGTCAGGTGTGTTTGTGGGTTGATGTTGGTGAGAAGGATTGGGCAGATGTGTATAGTGTACCACCTGGGAGAATGCCTCTCAGGTATTAGTCATAATTTTGTAAAGTAAATGAAATGATAATGGTGGAAACATAAACGTCAAGTTGGAGATGCTATGTGTTATAAGTTATTTGTGTCCCTGAGGAAGTGTTGTCACACTTACTGTACAAATGTCTTCAGTCTGTTGAAGATTCCTTTAAGCATGGAGGAAGGCAGGCTTGGATCCAGTTTTATATAGTGTTTGCTGTATGAAGTAAATGAATTTGTTATATTGATAATGACTCTATTTTGCTTTAATTTGTGACACTGATAAACACTTAAATCTTTGATTAATGGATGAAACCGTTTAAAACGTTGATCGTGATTGTTGGATTGGTTGTGATGGATTTGCCTTTTCAAAACTTTGTCACTAATAGTTCAGGTTTCTTGAAAATAATCGGCAAATTCACTTCTGATTCTACATCAAAAGTAAAAACTTTCTTAATTTTCTTGTTTTCCAGATGGAGGAGATTAAAGAACAGAATAAAGATGTTTAAGAGCTAACCAGGATCAAGTCTTTGATAGTCTCAGAATGACTTAACGCAGCCAAGCCAGGACATCATTGATGCATGTGTGTGACTTGTGTGATTGACCATTCGGGAGCATGGAGAGAAAATGGATCTTGATGATGTGGGTGTGCAGCCTTGTGTTGCTAGGCGCCAAGTTGTTACATGGAGAAAATGTATACTCAAAACAAGAAGTGAACCTTCTACCAGCAATGGGAAGTAAAACTACACCATTCCTAAACCATATGGTGATACATGATAATCTCATATATATTAGCGGTGTCAACAGGATATTTAAACTTAGTTTCAATTTGTCAGTTTTGGCTAATGTATCAACGGGTCCACAAAACGATAGTGCCCTCTGTGACCTTCCCCCAACTGGAGATCGGTGCATGCATAAAAAATCCCTACGTGACAATGTTAACAAAGTGCTTCTTATCCATGAAAAAAAGGGGGAACTTCCCTTCCTTATAACGTGTGGCAGTATTTTCCAAGGGGCCTGTGAAACTCGACTTTCCAATAGCCTCCAACTAAACAGAAAGTACTACGGTCAGTTGGACAGTATGAGGAGTGATCTCCCTATACAGGATGTGTATGCCATTGCTGCAGATACAGAAAATGGTTCAACTGTTGCATATATTGCACCAGGAACAAAAGGCAATGATGTGATATACATTGCTTCTACATATACAGGTTCAAATGACCGCCTCATCCGACAAAACATTCCAGCTATAAGCATGCGTAAACTAGGTCCAGGGGACGAGATCTTTAGCTACAACAACATTGACACCTCACCAATCACACCACGTGCCTCAAGTGTTTCCATCAAAGCTAGTATACGTACCACTTTTCTCGTGAATTACGTGACTGGATTTACGTCTGGAAATTATAGTTACTTTGTAACGACGCAACCAAACTCACAAAGTAAAGAGAATCCAAATACGATCACAAAAATAATTCATTTGTGTCAACAAGATGAATGGCTTACTTCTTATGTGGATCTACCTTTAGTGTGCAAAAAAGAAAGCGGCAAAGTGTTCAACAAAGTGACGTCTGCCCGAGTCATTCAGCCTGCATTGATTCTCCAAAAGAACATGATGCTGCAGCCTGGTGCAGAGGAAGTTCTTGTTGCCACATTTACTGATGACAATGAAAAAAATTCAGCTGTGTGTGTGTTTGGGATGGGTGAGGTTCGCAGGAGAGTTGTGGCCAATGTGAGGCTCTGCAGAAAGGGGAACTCTTCAGCAAATGGAGACAGATATATAGAGGGTGGATCAGAGTGCAGATTTAGTGTGAGTATAGTCAATAATGTTTTACTTTGTGTTAATGTCAAAGTTGTAGTCAGTTATCAGTCTGTAAACAATTTCTGCTGTGGCTCTTTCTTGAAAAATACTGAATGTACAGTAAAACGATTAAATTTGGTACAGCCAATATCTAGCACTCTGGAGTCTGGGTACCTAGGTATACAGAGGGTATAGGTGTTTAAGTTGTGCGAGTTGGGAATTCCCGTTCTATATAGTACGTGATCTGGGCATTCAGAACAGGTGAACAGAATTACAGGTATGGTTCATCAGTTTTTCAGTATAATTACAATCACAGGTAGTATTGCATTGTTTTTCGTTCCCTCCGCAATATAGGATTTTCATCAGTATAGAAGCCTATAGTGCTTAAGCCTATTCACCTTGCATGGCTTGTAAGAGCCTGTGACATCATCACACAAAACAAAAAGCTCCTGATTAAGTCGTTTGAGACTACAGGAATATTAAATGTGTTGTAAAAACAACAGACTGTCCAAGCCATTAGACATTGTGTTACTGGTCTGTTGTACAAATTATTGGTGTCAATAAATCATTTCCAGTCTCCAACTTTTCGTTCATCTGTTTTAAGCATTATTGAAAATTTAGTGGTCATATCTATTTAACACTTCGATGGCTAGGCGTGAAAATTGCTAATGTTAAGTGAGCAGGTTCTTCTTGGTCCCTTAAGTTATGCTTTTTTGATTATGGGACTAATTAGAAAAACAAAATAACTGACCGTCGGCTAACTTGGATTTTGACAATGAATGTACTGGATGTATATTTCTCAACTTTACTAAGGTAACATGTATGTTCTTCATGGTCGCTAGTTGTGTCTATTTCATTTTGAGACTGATCAATGATACAAAATGGCTGACACAGGGCCATCTTGGATTTTGACAGCTGAAGTTTGTATCATTAGAAAAAAAAAGATATTTCTCAGATATGAGGTAAAGATTTTCCTTGATTGTAAATTGTTCCCATTCAATTTTTTTGTGTTAGCTCAAGAAAACGAAACGGTTGACTGGAGATTATCTGGGATTTTGACTGTTGAAGAAAGGTTCTTGTGAGCTCTTTCCTATATTTCATTTGTAGGATTCCTTTGTTATCAAATAAATAATAGGAAAAGGGGGAAAAACTGAAAAGTATAATAAGAAAGATCAGTCAGTGGTAGGTGCCAGGATCCCTGTGGGATCTCTTCTTTTCCTGTGCTTGTTGTTGTTGATCAGTCAGTGTTGGGTGCCAGGATCCCTCTGGGATCTCTTGTTCTCCTGTGCTTGTTGTTGTTGTTGGTCAGTCAGTGGTAGGTGCCAGGATCCCTGTGGGATCTCTTCTTTTCCTGTGCTTGTTGTTGTTGATCAGTCAGTGTTGGGTGCCAGGATCCCTCTGGGATCTCTTGTTCTCCTGTGCTTGTTGTTGTTGTTGGTCAGTCAGTGGTGGGTGCCAAGATCCCTCTGGGATCTCTTGTTCTCCTGTGCTTGTTGTTGTTGATCAGTCAGTGTTGGGGGCCAGGATCCCTGTGGGATCTCTTGTTCTCCTGTGCTTGTTGTTGTTGTTGGTCAGTCAGTGGTGGGTGCCAGGATCCCTCTGGGATCACTTGTTCTCCTGTACTTGTTGTTGTTGTTGGTCAGTCAGTGGTGGGTGCCAGGATCCCTCTGGGATCTCTTGTTCTCCTGTGCTTGTTGTTGTTGATCAGTCAGTGGTGGGTGCCAGGATCCCTCTGGGATCTCTTGTTCTCCTGTGCTTGTTGTTTTTATCAGTCAGTGGTGGGTGCCAGGACCCCTCTGGGATCTCTTGTTCTCCTGTGCTTGTTGTTGTTGTTGATCAGTCAGTGGTGGGTGCCAGGATCCCTGTGGGATCACTTGTTCTCCTGTACTTGTTGTTGTTGGTGGTCAGTCAGTGGTGGGTGCCAGGATCCCTCTGGGATCTCTTGTTCTCCTGTGCTTGTTGTTGTTGTTGGTCAGTCAGTGGTGGGTGCCAGGATCCCTCTGGGATCTCTTGTTCTCCTGTGCTTGTTGTTGTTGATCAGTCAGTGGTGGGTGCCAGAATCCCTCTGGGATCTCTTGTTCTCCTGTGCTTGTTGTTGTTGATCAGTCAGTGGTGGGTGCCAGGATCCCTCTGGGATCTCTTGTTCTCCTGTGCTTGTTGTTGTTGTTGATCAGTCAGTGGTGGGTGCCAGGATTCCTCTGGGATCTCTTGTTCTCCTGTGCTTGTTGTTGTTGTTGGTCAGTCAGTGGTGGGTGCCAGGACCCCTCTGGGATCTCTTGTTCTCCTGTGCTTGTTGTTGTTGTTGATCAGTCAGTGGTGGGTGCCAGGATCCCTGTGGGATCTCTTGTTCTCCTGTGCTTGTTGTTGTTGTTGATCAGTCAGTGGTGGGTGCCAGGATCCCTGTGGGAACTCTCGTTCTCCTGTTGTTGTTGACACAAGATATAAAGATATGTCTGCTACATCCATCAAGTTTCATTTCTTTTTCTGCGTTAATATTGTTCAATATTATTTTCTCTTTTTCATCGTATTGCTGAAAAGTGAGTTAATATTCATTTGGGGTACATAAGCAGACCAGCCGCTCTAAAAGTAATATCATCAAAGCATGGAACTTTATACTTTGAAATTTTTGCTACTGTTAAATTTTTACCCTTTTTGTCCATGAAAAAGGATGGTCATATTCAAGATGAGGGCCAACATTTTTAACACTTTTATAACCTTTTTATATAAGCCCCAGAGAATGAAATGAAAATGTGACAAGTTCATCCCAATATAAAGAATTACAGATCAATCACACATTGTCAGAAAAGTTCTATAATCTTACTCAAAAGGTTCACTGATCATCAGTTTTGCTCAGTTTTTGATTTTGGTTCTGCCCCAAATTCAAAACCTTAATAGAATTCCCAGACCCCTTCTTCTTCTTTTCCTGTGTTTGTTTTTTCTTTTAAAAAGACTTTTTTTACCCTGATTTCATGGCCTCCTGCACTAGATTTAACATAGATATTGATTACTAATTAATCTTTTAATCAGTTGATGATTAATTAATATAATGCAAGAAACTGACATTAAGGATTGTTGCCATGAAAATGCCCTATAAAAGACTGAATAAATGTATCAGTTTCATTGATAAAATATTTTTACAACCATTTAGGGTTGTTTTAGGACAAAAGCAATCTAGATCTGCTACCATTGAAGAATAACTTGGCCATCCCTATTTCTTGCACAATTTTACAAGCTTCAATTACAGTCAAAGAAAGACAACTCCTACTACTTATAGTTTGATTTTTTTTTACATTTTGGCTCCAGCATGCCTGTACAGTAGTAGTTACTATCTACATAGTAGGGTATGAATATCAAATCTTATTAATTTACCTATTCACATGAGTTATATCAATTTATCTACAGGAAGACATAATGGCTCAAACATTTAACCCCTGAAACATACAGGTCAATCAGTTTACCACTGATGTTTTCTCAAATTACGTATATACCTGATTCACCTGCCACATTTGTTTGTCAATTCAGAAATCATTAGCGCATCAGTCAAATCACAGACTTGTTATATCTATCTGGGTAAATAACAGATATTTTTCTTATTGTCAGAATATTAAAGGTTGTCTGCCCTTGTTTTTCTCAGGACAAAATGGAGAGTGATGAGTCGTTGCTGTGTTTTAAAGTCCGGTCACGGAGCTTCACTCGGATAGCAGGTATTCTACCAGCGGAAGCCCAGCCTGTCCTCACGTACAAAAATACGACCTTGACATCCATTGCCCTATCAACCACAACAGACTTTACTGTTGCTTTTCTCGGAACTAATCATGGTGACATCAAAAAGGTAAGCTAAAAATATCACAGGAAAACACCTGGTACTTTGGACTCATGATTGAAGTATACTTAATCAGAAAACTTGAGTTTGCAGAAAGTGTTTGTTTTCACGAAATGCTGGTAATAAATTTTGTTGAAATCTTGTTTCAACTTTGCTACTCAATTACACATCTGGAATGATATGTTAGAGTGAAATAAAAAGATTTTCAGGGCAGATAATTTAGGTTCTGTGTATGTTTATATAATCTCTTTTCTGCTGCCTGTGAAATAATATGACAATAAAACATACTCCTTGTCATCATCAGATTGTAATCAACTCCAATCTGAGTGCCACAGAATACGACCAGGACCTGCGGACAGACCTGACCATTGATGAAGGGAGTTCTATTAATAAGGATATGCAACTTGACGCCTCCAATCAGTACCTCTTGACAATGAGTGATAAAAAGGTACAGTTTCCTACTTTCCTTTACACAGTAATTGTGAGCTTAAGCCCAGTTTTGTCTTTGGGTAATGCAGAGTTATCTGTTCTTATTAGCAGATATTGATTGTAACGTCATTTGTTTTTGAGAGAAACATTTATAAGAAAACAACATAATTTTCTCACTCTAATGACGAAACAAGCAGTATCTGCTCACAAGAACAGATAACTCTGCATTATGGAAATAGTTCCTTTATAAGAAGAAATGCATCGACTTCTAACAACTTTTTATGGATACGGCTGTCTTACTACAGGTGGCCCAGTTGCGTGTAGAGAATTGTCAGCGCCATTCAAGCTGTTATGACTGTCTGTCCAGTCAGGATCCTTACTGTGGCTGGTGTACCCTGGAAAATCGGTAAGTTATTAGGACCAGACTTCAGGTCTAATTTGTGTACCCTGAAAAAATTGGTTAGTCAAGTAAGGACCAGACCTTGATTGTAAACCTAGTTAGATATGTAGGTCAATTATTCGATGCAACAATGTGAAAATTTTACTAAAAAGCAATTTTGTAAATGTACTATATATATATATATCAGTAAAAAATTATTGAACTAATCCGCTTAAGGAAATCTCCATAGAGCCTGTGTTGTTTAGAACTGAAATGTCACCCTGTTTTGTTCTGTTACCATTCAGATGTACTGTCCGAGGAGCCTGTTCCAACCCAGACGTTGACCGATGGGCATACGGTCAAGTTGGGAACTGTATAACAATCATGGACATTTCACCTCCCAGTGCCTCAGCCTCTGTGGTCATCAAGGTAACCTCTGACCTATGTGACCTTTCATCTTTTTAGGTTTTTAATCCTAATACTTTGATATTGTGGTTGGATAGTGTGTCTTAAGATTTGTTTGTGGGTAGTGTGTTTTTATTTTGTACACATTTTTTTTTAAGTTTTAATTGCACGGCCTTCTTATGAAATTGATTTCCAGAACGTCTTAAATGTGTTGATATCCACTCTGCTTAGTTAATTTTGCAAAATGATTGATATGAAAGTGAATGAATTTCAGTTTTATTTAAATAAGGCTCCAATGTATTGCGAGTGAAAAATTTAAAAAGTTTGAAGAAGATTGCAGGAATTGCATTGCTTGCAAGCTCAGGATTCTAAATATAACACAGGACTGAGATTGCAGACAGACAAATCTCTCAGTAATCCCATCCTATCTCAACCATCTCCTGAGATTAAGTTCTAATCTGAAACTATTTCCGTTGGTCCTAAAATATTTAATGTGACCTGCAGAAATTTCATCCTTCTGAAAACAAGCTATCTGTTTAAAAAGATTTATTTTGAACATGGGTTGTTTTGAATGGAAAGAATGTATAATCTGGATAAAATACAAAATTTGCATCAACATACAAGCAATTAAATTGTTTTAGAATTCTTAAGGAAATAAAAGTGTACTTTAGCATAAGGTTTACTATGACAGGAAGAATGAGGTGTTGTCTTGTGTCATGCATGATAACATGCATGCCTGGCATATATTTCTACTTTATAGATAAATTCCGTCCTTGTTTATTGCATGTTAGGCCTACTCAGAGTTAGTATTGTGAATCAGTGATATTCTGGATATGATTGTACAAAGTTTTGTTAGCTTCAAATTCTAATAACTGAGATTAAAAAAAAAATATTTTAACAGAAATTGTGTACCAGTATTCAGAGATTTAAAACTATTGTTTTTCAATATATATACAGAAAAAAAATCACAATTTATCACAAATTATTTCTCACAAAAATATTTTAAAAACATTTGGTGAACAAACATCTGAAACTGAGTTGTTGTCAGCTGCATTCATGTAATGATCCATTACATGTATCAAATTGTAATTTTGATTCCAAACTGTAGTTGTTTGAAGTCAAACTTTTAATTTTCCTTAATTTATTGGATATTCAATCTTCATACTTGTCATTATTCGATATTTTACTGTATTATGGTACCAACAAATCCAGAAAATCATGACTATTATATATATATCAAGTATTGTGTAGAATTGTATAATGTTGTTAATGTGATTGCCTATCTTCAGAGATAAAGGATATCTTGCCTGATTAGAAATATCATTATTTAGTGTAATGATTGGAAATTTTTATTTTGATACAGGTATAAATACTGTAATTGCAATGCGGTGATTTTTCAATCTGATCTGTATCTGATATGCTTTGTTGCACCTCAACTGTATTTCTGTCTTAAGGGACCTTCTTTGTCACCATGCACGTCAAGTTAAATTGCATGACTCCAATATTTTTATAAACTCAGTGCTCACAATATTTCAACAACATGATATTGTAATTCTACTTTATACAATACTTTGTGGGGACAATCTGATGTCTCCATGGGACACATAGAAATAAATTCATTTGTTGATGGGTCTGTAACAATCAAATTATATAAATCTTGTTAGGTACACCACATTTATTGTAATTAAATATATTGGAGAATTGCCTGTGCAGGAAATTAATGATAGGTCAGGTATTATTTTCTTGAAACAAAGAATGTGGTTGTTTACTTTAAATGCTACTGTGTATATACAGTTTAGTTTTCCAAAATCATCCGAAAAGAAATGTCGGATTAAAGTAAATGATTGATGAAAATTTTGAACTAAAAAAAAACTGGAAATAGTATCAATATCTACAATAAGTGACACAGAGGGTCCTACCAAGAGACAATGCTATCATATTTTATATTAAAAGATTGCATTTGTTTTATTTATAGTGTGTATTTTTATTGTGATAATCTGGTTTTGTTTATAGTTGAATGGTTCTTTGATTGTAAGTACTAATTCGCTGTCATCGTAGGTGTTCCTGGTGTGAGAAATATATACCATAACTTTTGCCGCTATTAAGCTATGCTGTCAATAAAGGGTTTATTCACAGTTTCGCTGGGTACCTCTCCTGACACCACTACTATTGGTAGTTAACCATCCATTCTAACATCACCATTACAGAATCAGAAATGAACAACATCACATGACAAAACACTAATGTACATTTCATGTATCATATAAATAATCACTTGCTAACTCTATTGGATATACCAGCTTTTCTCATTAATTAAATCGTCACATTCTTTAATCAAAGCTTATATTTAGTTTCATACATTTAACTTTATTTAACTAATAGTTAGAATATAATTCTTAAGACATCTGTTTTATTCAGCTTTCAAAAAATTAATTTTATAGAATGTTTACCTGTATACTTTCAAGTGGTGAAAATATTACAAGATCCTATATGAGTCTTCCAAAAGTATATCTGAGTTTTTACTCTTTTTTTTTCTCCGAACTGAGCATGTGAATTTCTTTAATATGATTATAGCCTGTATAAAAGGGCTTTCCAGCACTTTATCTGTATATCAGCACACTGTAGAAAAACTAACACTATGATTATAAAAAGGTATTTGATATTCTACAACTAACTCTCTTAAATTCCTTTTAAATTTGATATCTTTCCATGGACTAGTAGCTATTCTGATGAAACGTTGAGGTCTTTATTACAGAAACATATCTGTTGCCTAAATCTTCAGTGATATATAAGCTTATAAGATATCATAGATTTTGCTCATGATTTCATTTGTTAGTTTTAATCTTTTAAAAAAAGCCAATATTGGCCATTTTCCAATGTTTAAGTCGAATAGTTGTGCCTTTATTTCACATAACAAAATTTTAAAAAATCAAGTGATGAATTTTGACATAAACTTGCCAAATGGAACACTTAAACGATCTTTTGAGTTTAAGTTTTTAAGTAATTTTCAATGCAGCCAGCAGTGTAGTGATTAATGGTTACATGACTAAAGGTATTATGATAGCTAATTTAAGGAATTGTACTTCAGTTTATTCTTGGCATAATGCAGGTAATGGAGTTATCTCCCTTGTAGGATCATTTATTATACATAGGGGGCAGGCTGCACTGAAATGGTACACAGAAAACACTTTAATCATGTTGTCAAGAAATTGGTCACTTAAGGTGTGATGAGTTCGGGGTGTATGTGTCAATATTAAACTTAAAACGTCATGCAGAGATAATTACCCCAACATTTAATTAACTGGTACCAATAAAAAGATAAATGCCGGTTTTGTCAGACACGTTATAAACATACTACAGCATCAGGAAAGACCCTTATTAAGGAATGGTGTTACAAGTACAAGTTAACTTTTGTGCATCAGAACCTGACAACATGAATGTCCATATTACTGTAAAAACACCTTAATTTATCAATTACTTGGCCATTTCATTAAGCCCATCTTTTCTTATTCAGATTAAGGATTAAATTAGTTACAAACATATAGCCCTCAATCACTTGATTTACGAGCAAGGATTAGTTTGAAGAAGATGAACATTTTTTAACTAAAAATGAGAAATTGAAAATAATTCAGTATTCACCTGAATTACTGTCTAGGTTTTCTGAAAGTCTAGAGGTAAAGTTTCTTTTGTGTTTTAGAGGTTATGTCCTATGAAGTCTTCAATTTCTTGTTAAAAATCATACATTTTCTAATGTATCTTTGCTCATTGTTGACTATGATTAAGATATTGATATATTCTAATTGAATTTCCCATGTAGATCAAACGCTTTACAGAGCTGGCCGTCATGAGCCTCACTTTGGTCTGTCATTAAGCATGTGTCTTTATGTAGCATGACTTATAGTTTGTGTACATTTAAAGCATGACAAGGTCCCAGAGTTAACACCTTCCAATAGCTAGTTTAGTTATATCCCTATCTGCCTAGATAAAAATTGTTGACTATCACACGGTATGCTAGAAAAAAAGTTGTTAACCATCAAGCTATTTCTGTAAGCAATGTTTTCAAAACATTTCAAGAATTTACAAATGTCTTTAAGGCTGTTTTCTTCCTGAATTGGTGTGAGGAAAGAAACAAGTTTACACCACACAGTACTGTAGATAGGTTTTAATAGGAACACATCAATTTTAGCCTTACAGACACTTTGAGCTGTTTTCTTGAAAACTATATGATTTTCTTTTATTTCCAAGCCTTCTAAATAAATAAAATTGGAACAAAACTGCAGTTTCATTTATGAAATCTTTTGAAGTTTTATGATTTTGTTCACTTGGTTGTTTCACTAAGTATTTGAAGTTGATAATTAAAAGGTCAAAGTTGATGCTCTCCATATGCTCTTTCATTAAATGAATAATTCATTATGTTGTTGACCCACAGGTCCATTTGTCCATCCTGAAACTGCCTAGGATGACCAACTACAGCTGTGTCTTTGCTCTGGATACTGGACCCTGGTCAGTCCCAGCAGAGAGGTGGTCCTATGGACTGACCTGTCAGACTCCGAATGTCACCAATTTTGGCCTTCTGTTTGGAGAAGCAGGTACAATGCATTACTAATTATGTCTGCTTTGTTATACATAAATCACGCCAAGAATTCCGTGTACCAATTTCATGAGATCTCTTTTTTTAAATATAATAATAAAAATACATCTTCCTGGCTGTCTGTGTTGACTCTTGCTTCTAGATTGATAAGAACCTCTTGGGAAGATTGTAACCCAGTATGATGTCTAGAGATATGTCTCAATTACCAACAATTCTTTCAAATAAGATAAGTTGTCCAAAATCAGCGGACGTCATCAGTGATCTTTTCTCTTGTTAGTGTAAGATGTTGTCTTAAAGACACAGACTGTCTCTCAGTAAATTCAATTTGCTGATCAATTGTGGAAAAAGAAAAACTTCTTGAAAGAAATTTTTATGATGATTCATTTATTTCAGAATTTTTTTTTTAAAGATCTTCTATGTTAAAGGAATCTGGCAACATGCAAAGTCAATGAAAGGCCTTTATACAATAATTTCTGGCTTGTTTGAATTTGTTCCGAGTCCAGAAATAAAGGAAGTTTGATAATCAGGCATACTAACTTATATATGTCGTCTGTTTCTAGGTCATCGCGATATCAAATTATCAATCAACTCTACAGAGACAGGCAAACTGTTTGTGTCCAAAAATTTCACCTTCTACAACTGTGGAGCATTCAAAAGGTAAACTTTTGCACTAAATGAAACTTTTATCAATATTTTAGCTGTAGATTTTGCAAGAACCACGGTAAAGAGGTTTCTCTAATCAATTTATTTTTAACAATCCTCCATTCTTTGACACACAAGTGCTAAGTATGACTGTAATATCAAAGTAACTATATTAAGATAAAATCTGTGGTCTCAGGATATACTGTCTCCAGAGATTGGGGGCAGTTTGTGGTCTCTGATATACTGTCTCCAGAGATTGGGGGCAATTTGTGGTCTCTGATATACTGTCTCCAGAGATTGGGGGCAATTTGTGGTCTCTGATATACTGTCTCCAGAGATTGGGGGCAATTTGTGGTCTCTGATATACTGTCTCCAGAGATTGGGGGCAATTTGTCGTCTCTGATATACTTTTTTTTTCTTAAGAGATTGGGGCAATTTTTGGATGGAGCCAAAATACTGAAACAACAAAAACATTTCAATACATTTGGAATTATTTTGTAGACATATGCATTTGATAGTTTCTGGAAATGATGCATAGGTTTTGTTTGCCAAGTTTTAATGTCATTGGGTCAAAGTTTTATAACATTCAGAAGAAGTAAAACTGCCAACTTTCTCTAAAATCTGTTAGTTTTTGTATAGGAATACAAATTGAAAAGTTGTAGGAAATAATGTAAAAATTATTTTGGACCAAGTTCCAAGGTTAAAGGTCATTTAGACTTGGAAGTATTTAAACTGTCATTTTATCCAAACTGTTATCATTTTGTATAAGAATATGTATTTGAAACTTTAATTTTTATGTCACACCACATCCTTAAACAACACTTAGGCTGAATACCAGATGGAGGCTAATTTTGGCCATGCCACTATTAGTTTTGGGAAGTAATTTGACTGCCTAATGAAAAATACCGACAGACATGAGAATTTTAACTCTTTGCTCCATGAACTCTGGTGACTATCAAGGCACAATGAGCCTCTTGTTGTTTGTATATTCTACTTGTGTTTTTATCTTTTACCTGTATTTTACTAGTGTTCTACCTGTATTTTACTTGTAGATGTATTTACTAAGTTTTACCTGTGTTTAATCTTGCTATATGAATCTGTATTTAATTAACAGCTGCAGTCCATGTACAGACAACCGATGGTCATGTGACTGGTGTATCTACGAAAACAAGTGTTTGTTTAACTCTGGCAACTGTGACACACTTGGCATCATCGTGAGTCGAAATGTACGTTCTGTATTGTATCACACTTGTTTTAATTAGACACAACCTATCCTATAATACTCACATTTTTATTTGGTTTTTCAATGTTCCACCCAATGTTTCAATGTTGTCAGAGTGAAATCTTGTTGATGGACTAACAACACATGGAATGTAAAGAAGTAAAATCATTTCAGTTTCATAGAGATTATAATGGGATCTAAAATGGATGAGAATAAAATGTTTTAATGCGAACAGGTCTTGGTTTACAGATGTAGGAACGAAAAACATGTATTATGAGATGTTTTATATATATAAAGAAAGAAAACCTGCTTATATCCATGCTTTGGAAGCATTCGTTTGCTGTATACTATTTTCTGTTATGAGAAATGAGTTTTTTCTTTTTAGACAGTTTTGATATTTTGCGCATATTGTTCTGTAGGCAGATACAGTATAAGTACTGCTTGTACTTGAACGTATGGGGCAGACATTTATACCGAGTTAGCATGCAATTACATTTAAGAATCAGGCATTTGTAGAATGGTAGAAAGCATAAGAGGATCAGGATATAGTAATGGAATAGAATAGCTGGAGAATTATGGGTTAGATATATTACAATTTAGTCAAGGCTGAAAATATGCTTTGTTGATAAAATGTAGCCAGTCGTGATCTGTCGAGAAGTGGGTATCGCAGCACTGGTAGCTGATCTACTTTTGGTTGCCAGGAAGCGTTTTGACACAACCACTTTTATCAAATCTGTCAATTTATTGGTGAGGAATTTGGTGTGAAAAATTGGAATCCTTACGTTTAACAGCATGATGATAGTTTTGTCTTTTTATCGTTGTTCAAGTTTTGTTTGATACTGTTTCAGTTATTAGCACATTTCAATTCATGCGAGCTTTAAGCATTTTCATCATGAGTTTTTCCATGAGGTGCTCACCACAAATTAACATGTTAAATAATCATTTTTATTTATTCATTTTTTTGTCCTTGCTGTCATTATGGTTTATTATTTGCTTAAGTTTTCATTTGCTTTTTGAATCTGGTGTAAAACAGGGGTTGACATAACTGTAACCCTTAGCACTGTTACATTGTTCATTGACCGGTTTTATAAGATTCTTAAAATTACAAATTTTCAGGAAACAGATGATGATAACTCGACAGTAAGTTGGCTGAAGTATATGTTATTATATCATTATAGATATATAGCTCCTCTTGCGTATAAAATTTTTGTCTGAATGACTTCATAGGAACAGTTTTATTAATAATGTCGTTTATATATTTGATGTGAATTTGTTTTCTTTTTCGATTTTCTGTAATGGATATAAATTTGTAAAGTATACCTGTTTTCTGGCAAGTCATTTTTTTTTCCCCTCAAAATGAACGTTTTTTCTTATTCAAAGTATGCTGTTTAGTATTTTTTAGATAAAAGTTTGTACCGTTTTCTAAACAAGTAAAGCATGGTACTGTTACATCATATCTAAGGGAATTTCAGTCATGAAGAAACTTAGAACATACTGCATGGCATGTATCTATCAGAATGTCAAAATTTTACTGGTTCACAAATAATCCAAAATCCGATATTATAAAAATCATTGAGAGAATATTATTCCTCAATATTGTGCATGTTAATACCATGCCATGTCTATAATTTTGTCAGTTAAGGGTATGAGCCACAAAGATATCATGACCTTGGTAACCAGGGATATCTGGACATTTGTGGATATTGAGTTAACTATAGATACTTTGGAATCATGATATCTGGGTACTTCTGGATATCTGGGATGTAGGATATCTAGTAAAATGTGGATGTATTGGAAAATATTGGTTGTAGATAAATGGTAAACATGAATATGTGGATAATTGGGAATATTTGAGTAATTGTGAATATCTTAGTAACTGAAGATAACTGGGTCATTGTGGATATTAAGGTGACTGGATATTGAGGTAGCCATGGATAATTAGGTAAAGTTTGATATCTTGGCAATCATGATATCACAATGTATAACTCGTGTTTCAGCAATAAGAGTTGCCTGCCCTTTCTATACTGGTTTTTGAAAAACTAAGAGGTTTTGAAGGCAATTCACATGGAAGAAATCATCTTCAGTTGACAAGATTAACTGTTGTCACTTCCACACTATAAAAAAATTCTTTTGTTGAAAAAATACAATCCTTCTGTATTTTAAAACTTGTGTTTTGTTGACAAGAGTTATCCCCTTCCTCGCTGTTGATGATTACAAGTCAGTTGCTGGATTTAATGACACAGTCTGAAGTTTTCTTTAATATGTTTCAAATAAATGGTTTCTATTTCAGAAGAGGATTAATAACATTACTAACACTGCCTTGCCTGGAGAACAGAATTCATATCAATGTTTTTTTTTCCCGCATGTACAATTCTTCTGTGCATTTTCGACTTTTTTAACAACAGACTTTTTGCATTTTGAATTGATAATGTAGGAAAAGTAGTAAAATAATAATAGAAATGGAATTAATATAGGTTATAATTTATGACATTTGATGTAGGTAGAATAATATCTGCATGCTGATCAAGTGACAATCATTACGAAATCTTAAACAGGCTTGGTGTGATTTCATATTAAAAAAGGATATATTTAAGAAGGAAGTCTATACTATTTAGTTTGTGCATGTTCAAACTTTGGATTTTTATGTAAAGATTTGTCTGAAATCTCACTTAACCTTTTCCCAACATATCCCACTTTGGTTGAAGACCTAGCATGGCCAAATAAAGAATATGAAACATAGGTATAAAACCTAAAAACCAAATGGCCAGCAAAGACCTGTTGTTTAAGTTTCCACAGAACATTTGGAAGTCAAAAAACATCACTTGTCCAAATTACCACTACATCTACAAGTGTGTATCAAAAACCTATCCTTACCATAAAATATGTACATAGAGAAAAGGCAAAATTGATTTACAATCTACAACATGTATGTAATATGGAGTCGTGGTATTAAGATCAAGATATATTAAAAGCTGGGTGGTTAAATAAATCCAGTTGACTTCTCCATTGCACTGTAATTTCTGTGTAAAAAGCTAACTTGTTAGTTCTTGTTTGCAGAAATATTCAGGTGAGGGGAGAAGAGGGCCTAATCATTGTCCACGTGTGGATAGAAACAAGACTGAGCCCGTCTACATTCCCAATGAGAAAGCAAAGCCTATCACTATACAAGGATTCAACTTTCCCGAGCGTCGCGTAAGATAAAAATTATTATTTTTTGACAAAATTTAATTATATCAAGATATCAATAACATTAAGATGAACTCAGAAATGAAAGGTTTATCAATATGATGAAATAGTGAAAAGATGCTCACTTACTGTCTGTAAAGGCTAAATGGGACCTTGCTGCTTTTATTTGGGAACAAAAACTACTGGTATCAAAACTTAAATATATTCATACACATACATACATGCATTAGTTACCAAGTTTAAGAATGTAGGAAGAAAAAGAGGATTTTAGTATTTTTTTGAGGTGGGAAATGTAACGATGTTAAAATGTAATGTCATTTTTTTTCTCTCCAATTTTAGGATTTATTTTGTTGACTTTAATATAACCAAACATAAAGCAGAGCATAAAACTTCAACTTATTTATATCTGTATAATAACAGCCTGGAATGAAGGGATATCGCTGTGAGATTCAGATTCGGGATCCCCCATCTGTTGTGAGGGCCCATTGTGACCGACTGGATAGTGAGATCATCAGGTGCCATATTCCACAGGTAAGATATGAACTGGTAGTGACAGAATATAAATACATTTTAAAATATATTGGATACCTCTATTGCTTTAGCTATTTAATTAGATCATGTCGAAGTTTACCTCTTTTACCAAACAGGAGTTTAATATCCAGGTCCAGAATATTGTCAGTATCCTTCAACCCATGTTACATACAATAAACTTAGGATTTTTTTCATAAAATATCAATAATAATATTTTCAATGTTTAAAAGGAAATAATTTGAATATAGCTTTTAATATTCTGGTATAAATTTGACTTACAAAATGTTTATCTTTTTTATGGTAAAGTGTACAGGTCAAATGATTTCTGTCATGTCATTTATTTTGTAGAATTCTTACACATTCAAGACGGGCAAATTCAGAGCAGATCTCAAGATATTTTTTGGAAATAACACTGAGGTGGAAAATGACGCAACTCAAGGTATGGACAATGATTGAATTATATATAGATCCAAACTTAAAATAAAACATGGCAGTGTTATGTTGTTTCATACAATGAAAGGAAAAGAAGACAAATCTTAATTGATATGAAAGCAGTTAATTTTATGTTTTAAGAAAAATTGACTATGAAACAATTTCTTTTTTTTCTGAATGACCTAATTTACACAAATATGATTGGTTGATTATGTAAATGAAATAATCTTGCTAAGACTTGATTCACCGGTGAATTGACCTAATTTGCACTGGTATGACTGACTGATTGAATTACCTACAATTTACTGATTGGATGATTTTGACCTTTGCCCTTTGTAACAGTAACTATTTACAGCTGTATGTAGCTAGGTAATGGTGACTGTATCTACTGATATGATTGGCTGATTTTGACTTTTGCCATAGGTTATAGTGACCATTTACAGCTGTACGAAGCTATGTAATGGTGATTGTATCTACTGATGCGATTGGCTGATTTTGACCTTTGCCCTATGTTACAGTGACTATTTACAGCTGTATGAAGCTAGGTAATGGTGACTGTAGCTACTGTAAGTACATGCAGCACTATGAGATACAGCTTGACTGTGCCTGGTGCCAGGGCACATGCGAGTATCGTGAGTTCTGTGCAGACACACGAGCCAAATTGTGGAGTAGTGGAGACTCCTGTCCACCACCTGAAATCCAAACTGTGAGTATTGTAACCTGTAACCCACCTATTATCATACTGACACCACTTGTTTGGTGATATTTTGGCATTATAAAGAGGAAGCTATTATAAAGAAAGGAAAAATAGATGTGAAAATGTTTCAGAGGTGAAGTGGTGAATGATGAGAGGTTCATGGTTCTTTTAACATCAAAATATAACAATGATACCTTATATAGATTTTAATTTTGTGTGTAGAAAACACAATGTATCCAATGATGAGATGATATTTGTTATGCCCCCGCCATTTATGGCCGGGGGCATATAGCGTTGCCCATGTCCGTCCGTCCCTTCCCGTCGCGTCGCGTCATGTCCCATCCCGTCCCGTCGCATCGCGTCCCAAATTAGTATATACCACCTAACAACTTCATTCGGAAGGCAATTTTCATGAAACTTCATACAAATATCAAGTATGGAAAGACCTCATGCAGTGTTGAATTTCTCGGCATTCTAAAAAATAATGGCCACTAGGGGGAGATAACTCAAAAAAGAGGAACATCATCTTATTTCTACATAATTTGGTACTTGTGGGTTTTAAGGCATAAGGAACTAATATACTCCCTCATTTTTTCCAGAGAACAAAATTCCAAATTCATGTACGTTAAATTGTCAATTTAAGTATGAAACTTAAGTTGTACATAGTTGCATACAAATTAACAAAATCATCTCTTTCGGACCTTTCACTATTATTTCACATGGGGGGGCGGGGGCATTCATGTCTTACTGACATTTTCTAGTTATTAATACTTTGTTCAGTTGATTTGCTATCAATAAGGATGCAGTAAGTTTTTCATTTGCAATAAATCTTACGATTACAAATGGTTGTTACAAACTGTTCCACATATCTCCATCCACTGCCTATTTAAAGCATAGTCTGAGTGCTGGCATTCAGGAGGAATGTTTCATTTATTTTTGTTTCATATAAATGTATGTATTACAGATCAACCCTAACAATGGACCCAAATTGGGAGGCACACGTGTGACCTTGACTGGGTTTAACCTTGGTACAGAGTTCAAGGACATTCAGAACAATGTATCCATAGCTGGTGTACCATGTAAGCCCATCCGAGAACTCTACAGACCTTCACAAAGGTAAAAAGTCTAATGGTTTCTGTATTTACAATTTAAAATTTATGTTAACTTCACTCAACTCAGCATTAAATCAATTTCTGATGGGAATCGGTTCCAATAAAATTGATATTGAAAAATGCACATATAATGAAAAAATAAGACAATACATATTTTACATTAAAATAAATTGTCATAGAATGAATGTTTGTTTGTAGGATTGTGTGTGTCATTGGTGCCAGTGAACATGGAGATAAGACAGGAGGTGTAACTGTGCTCACATATGTCTTCAACAAAGTGAAATTCCACTATCTGGTAAGTCACTGAAAAACATTTTACTTGTGTATCAGTATAAACACAGGGAAAAGTATTCGGCTTGATGTCAGTGATTAAAATCATAATGGTTTTCCTTGTAAAACTTGACTGTCTTTTAAATTCTGTATTTAGGAATGTTTAGCAGAAATAAACACTGGAGAAGTTTTAACTAAGTTGTGGTGATCATGCTGTACATTTCCCCCCCTAACAGAGCCCCTCCATAGAGAAGGTTACACCTGCCCATGGCCCCAAGTCTGGCGGCTCTCTCATCACCATCACAGGATTACACCTCAATGCTGGTAACGGAATCTCAATCTCCATCAACAATCGTACCTGTCAAATTGTTGGGTAAGAAAGTAAAAATATTCTGTTTTAGTCTTGTTAATTTATAGTTGATTAGTCACTCCAAACTTACTGCAGTTAAGCGGAATTTTAAAAATCACACATTATTGTCTTGTCATCAATTTTACCTTTCATCATTGTTTGAGATAATAGGTATAGCCCTCTAACTTGTTTCTAGATGAATACGAAATATTGAAAGCTTTGGAAATTTGTAAAAATAAAACTTAAATAAATTTGTAGCTCACATGAAACGAAGTTATCATATAATAATAAGTGAAGGAGTTACATCACAAGCATTGTCCTGTAATATGCCCACCCTGACCCCTACTTGCTTCACTGGTCATGTGCTTGTCCACTGGTCTTATCACAAGGAGGACAGCGATAGCCTGCACAACCTCGGGTAAGATTCAAGATGTGTGGTTCAGTGCTCCCTACTCGTCACAGTTTGTTTTTCTCAGAAAGCTGAGAAATGGGCTGACCTGTGCAGCCATGGTTGTGTACTTGGGCAAGACAATTTACTCTTAATTGCTCTTGATGGTATGTGAAGGACCATTTGTATGTTGTAAAAAATTTTGTCTCTTGTTCAGGTTTAATGAATGATTTGTCTTTTTTTCTGAAGTTCTTGATTTGACAGTGAAGGTTTTTTTACAATTGACAGGGTTGTAGGTCAGAGGTCAGTGACCTGCACCACACCTTCCAGTCTCCAGACAGGAGATGAAATGATTCGAGCGAGTATTGACGGTAATGACATCTATGGTTCACTCATGTTCCGTTACTATGACGACCCAACAATAAAGAGTATCTCTCCTGTACGGAGCTTCGTTAGGTAAGAATCGTTACCAAACAAGTGACAAAGGGACACTGGGCATGCTTAAACAGAAAATTGTAATGAAAATCTATATTTAGATATCTTTTATCATTTCCTCACTTAAACAAATGTCCTCTTTTGTACATTTCTATTCAAGTCCCTGAAAGTTATTTCAAAAGTTTTTGATGCATGGACAATAAATTTGGTATACAGATGTAATGATCAGGGGCATTGTACCAAAATTATGTCACCATGACTTTTATTTGACTTTTCACTTCAAAATGTATCGTGGTAATACAAGAAATAACTGGAATGTAGAAGAGAATTTGAATGTGATTTTTGATATCTTATCGTTCAATTTGTATCCGAAGAAATTCTTATCAGATTTGTTTGTGTTGATTTTCAGTGGTGGAAGGAACATTACAGTGATAGGCACAAACTTCACCTGTATACAGCGACCACGAATGTTTACCATCTTTGAATCTCGTCGCAGCAAGGAATGTGTATGTACTTTGACAGAAGTCTGTTGTGGAAATACTTTTTTTCATCTAACTTTCGAATATTCTCTCAATATTCGGTTATATAAGGAATGCCTGTACTTATTTACATGTGTTGATATAAAGCTGTATCTTTGTGTTGGTATCAAAATATAAAATAAATAGTGGTTACCTCCCTCATAATATTTCTATGCTTTATCTGTAAAAGCCACAATGTACAGTATCATAGAGTTGCTCATGTGTTTCCACAGGATTGCTACATATTCAACTCTACAATGATGAAGTGTCCGACGCCTCATATGAACTCTGCTGATGAATTGGAGCGACTTAATCGTCTTAAGCGATCAACACAGCAACTGTCTGCAGAGATTGGCTTCATCATGGATAATGTGTTGTCGGTGCAGAATTTGTCTCGTAATTTCCCTGGAGTGGCAAGCTCCCTGGAATACTTCTCTGACCCACAAGTGTATAACTTCACAGAGCAGGGATCAGTGAAAGAATTTAAGGGGGAGGTGCTCATTATCAGAGTAAGTATTATTTTTTATCCAATCTTTCATTCCCATCTGACTTTGATTTAATATCGAAAATAGAAAATGTTTTGATAAAAATTTGTATTGGGACAGAAAGAATGCAAGACATTTGTAAAATGAAAAGTTCTGATGAGACTTATATGGAGATTAAATTTTTATTCTTTGTATCTATAGGGAAAAGGTTTGAATGTAGCAGCCAGCAAAGAGGATGTGACTGTAATGATTGGAGAGAAGATGTGTAATGTCACAAATCTCGCTGAAAATGAGATTTACTGCACACCGCCTACCACCCAGCCTCAGACCATACAGCGTAATGGGGTTATCTCCCACAGCAATGCTCCACAAGTGATTGTAAGTATTAATTAAACACTTTTTGAAAAACATGCCCACAGTAGCAATGTTTTAATTTCTATTTGCATAAATATTTATAGGCGATAAAGTACATATTTATAGGCGATAAAGTACATATTTATAGGAGATAAAGTACATATTTATAGGAGATAAAGTACATATTTATAAGAGATAAAGTACATATTTATAGGAGATAAAGAACATATTTATAAGAGATAAAGTACATATTTATAGGCGATAAAGTACATATTTATAGGCGATAAAGTACATATTTATAAGAGATAAAGTACATATTTATAAGAGATAAAGTACATATTTATAGGAGATAAAGAACATAATTATAAGAGATAAAGTACATATTTATAGGCAATAAAGTACATATTTATAGGAGATAAAGAACAATTTTATTTTTTCATGTGATATTGATCATTAAGAAAACATTTACAGAATCAACACAGGTTGTGTGTTATTAGTATAATTTTAAACTTATTTTTAATTTCCTAACAGTTGTTCACCTAAAGTATGTATCCTGCACTAAGCGCGGGGTTCAAACAAATTCCTTTTATCTTACTCAAAGTATTTCAGCTTGGGGCTATTCCAGTAAAACATCTATCTCACCCAAGGAATACACTGGAGCACTGTACCACCCATAGAATTTGATTTAATTAAGGATTTGTTAAGAAGTAATGTGCAGGAAATTGAAAAAATGGACAAAAGTGATTTATTTAGATTCCTTGGGTCACATGGACGTATTACTGGAATAGCCCTCTACTTTTGCATGGGCTTATTATCAAACATGGTTCTATTTTGGAATAAACACTGTAATGACTTTATAATCTTTCATTCAGGTGAAGATTGGAAATCGGGAGTACCAGATTGGATTTCTGGCCTATGAATTGCCGACCTCTGAAGGAAGCATGATTGTGTACATAATCATCGGTGTTGTGGCCATTGTGGTTGTTATCATACTGGCAGTCATCTTGTTTACATGGTTCTACCACCGCCAAAAGACACGCTCAAGACGAGAGTTCAGGAAAATGCAAATCCAACTTGATTCTCTTGAAAGCAATGTCCGTAATGAATGTCGCCAAGGTAATAACACGATATAGTGACACCACTAAACAATTCTCCCAAATCAAAATCGAAATAGAAGATTAAATAAGCACAAGAACATTTAAAAAGTGAACTTATTTAAGAAGTAGTAGTTTCCAGATGTCTGGAATTACTGAAATATCACAATGTTAAACTTATACAAAATGGTAATATGCAGAATGATTGTAAGATTGAAGGTGAAGGTCAGTGTTTCTAAAAATAGAATGGGGATGATGTACAATGAGGCACACAGTGCTCTGACTGTTCAACATTCTGGTTTAAATTATCACTCAGATCATGTCAGATTCTATTTGGTATCATCAACAATTTTTAACCTGCATCCTTCATGTTTTTACGAAAGGTAGTGAGCGTAATACTGAAAACTGGAGGGTAGCATTATTTCTCTTTTAACTGATATTTAAATGAACAGACAGTTGCCTTCATCACCACATTTTGATTATGATTAAGAAAAAATTGTCATGATAAAAAGAAAAGTTGTTCATAAAAAGTACATTTGGATTTAAACTGTATTCCAGCATTTGCGGAGCTGCAAACAGACATGACTGACCTGACAAATGACCTTGATGCCAGTAAAAAGCCATTTTACAGCTTTGAGAGTTATACCTTTAACGTTCTGTTTCCGGGCATGTTGGACCATGTCATTCTTCACCCGCCTATGGTATGTTACCTGTCAAGTTGCAATTTTTCAAAAATTCACAAAATTTGATGTCGGTTTTCAATCCCTTCTTCTATCATGAAATGTTAATGGCATGTAAAACTGAAATTTCATTTTAGACAAGAAATAATCTACATTTCAACATAGATTTCATATGAGCCCTGTACTTAGATGTTTTTCCTGAAATACACAACTTGTATTTGCTGAAAATGAAAGTTGCTTTCCTGTTTTTCTCAGCAAAAGAATGGAAACATTGATCGCCATCCAGACATTGGTATTGCTCACTTCAGCCAGCTGTTACAGAACAAACATTTCCTCCTCTTGCTCATCCGAACTCTGGAGAGACAGAAAAGCTTCAGTATCAGAGACAAGTATGTAAACCATCCGTCAGTATAAAGAAGCTTCATAGTGGAAAAGTGGCGTTATAATAAGGTTTCAAAAATGACGGCAGTTCATTAACATTTTAACTGGTTTTCCTTCTATGTTGTACTGTGTATGTTGGCAGGATATTAATATTATACTATACCAGAAAGCAGTTAATGTTTCAGTGGCAGTATAACACAGTTTAACTGTTCAGTTGTGGCGACGTAGCTATAATTTACTGTTCATTGTTGGCAGTATAATCAGGCTTTACTCTTTAAGATTGGCAATATATTAAGGTTTTAATGTTCAATTATGGCAAATTAACAAGATTTTACCGTTCAATGTAGGCAGGACATCAAAATTTTATGTGTGTATTTGTGGCAGTATAACAAGGTTTGGCTGTCTAAAGGCCACATCCTGCCAGAACATAACTACAGAGATGGCAATATAATGAAAATTCCTCCTATAGATAATGGTTCCTTTGTTATTTCAGGTCCAATGTAGCCTCCCTGTTGATGATACTCTACCAGAATAACATGGAATATGCTACAGAGTAAGTGTATATTCACATTGTCAGTACATTTTTATGTAGCGTCAGATCAGGACTTACGATCAGATAAGGAATCGTATACTTCTATTTGATGTGCCTATGTCTATAACAACGGAAATCACCTGTAAGTGTCACTACCATTTAAATAAGGACATTTTTAGCAGCATTACAGTTAATAAAAAATTGTTCTACAATTTACCATAATTACTACAGGTGACAATAACTTAAAGGAAGCAAATTTTAGTTTGTTTTAGAGAATCCTCAACTAATTGTTGATTTGTTTTTTTATTTTTTGCAGAATTTTGAAAACTCTGCTGTCAGATCTGATAGAGAAATCGGTTGACAGCAAACATCCAAAGCTCATGCTGAGGAGGTCAGTCAATTACACTTGTAATTCTTTATACTAAAATGTACTCAACAATCACAGAAAATTTACTTATTCATTTGATTTTATAATGATATAAAGATGTGTTGAAAAATAGATTTCTGTTGGAAATAACAATATCCATATGCATAGTGACATAATTTTTGTGTTAAAGTGAAATTTTACCAATATCATAACTAATTACTGAGTAAGTATATACATACCTACATATTTTTTTTATATATATTATTTTTTTCATTCTGTGTTTTAGGACGGAATCTGTTGTGGAAAAACTGTTGGCAAATTGGCTGTCTCTGTGTTTGTATAAATACCTAGTGGTAAGTAAAACAATGACAAGTAAGAGTTGTCTCCCATTAGAAAACTGACGATGAATCTCATAAACATATTTAACCAGGTCTGTATCAAATACTGTTCCTTTCTAACAGGTATCAATTGTTGTTGCCAACTTTTGAATAAAAGGTTGTAAGAAAGAAATAATGTGTCACTGAAAGAAAAAAAATTACTATTCAATAATGAGAATCTGAAAGGAAACGTTATTTGAACAGAACGGTAAGATATTATGAGTGAAAAAAACGATAGCAGTAGATATTGTAAAAGTTAGTGTACAGGAATCAGTTAAGCAAAGGTAGCCTGTTTTGAATTTTAAGAGGATATCAAAATATGTTAGGTTTCTGCAGATTTCTAACAAAATTCTGTTTTATGAGTTTTCGTAATATTGGTATTTGCATAGAATCTCAGAGCTGAAGTCATAAGTATGGAAAGTTTTATGAAGCTTACCATTTAAACATAAGGCTGCTACTGTTTCCTGTATACTGAGCCAGAGATCTAATGTGCTTGGTTGATCTACTACATTGTACTTTGTGGCGTTAGCTAACGCTTTGTAGAATAATTCCTAGAAAGCAATTTTGTCATTGAAAGTCACTTGTGAAAACTCTCATGCAAGAAATTTATTTTCAGTATGTTTTTAGATGTATCCGATATGTTCTATATACCGGTACTGTTTAAACGGTTTTTAGTAAATAAATCAAGATCCTTCTGTTTATTTGTTCAGTATTTCTCTAGAAATTGTTGTTATTGGTACTCCTGTTAAAAGAAATTATTTCTTTAATTTAATTTTTTTTTTTTTTTTAAATTGATCTGGAGGCCCTTGAAATAGTTGAAACAAGTTTTCAAGTAAAATTATTTGTCTTAATGAATTTGTAAACAAAGGTCATTGTATTAGTGCTCTGTCTAAATCAGACTCTGTCCATTCTAGATTTCATATATAATTTGAACTAGTAGAGTCAAGTGGTCAAGGATTGTCTAATGTCTGGTTTGGACAGAGTTTACTGAAGAAAACATCTTCTCAAGAGGTAGAAGAAATTTTTTTAAAAGAAGATGTAATAAAGTGAACAGTATAAATATTGCTAGATCCCAGTCTGAAATTGAGATGTTCTTCACTTTCAGGAAGAGTCGAATTTCCCAGTAAGTGTGTGTTGAGTGGACAAATATCATCTCATGTATATTCATAAGCTAATTATACGCAAGCCAGTGCTTTTCAGGAGTTGTGCCCCTTTAGTGAGATGTCAAATTTCTGTTTAGCTCAAATGTATTATGTAGAATTTCAATTAACTCAAAGATGCTTCTTAATCCCTTTATTGCCATCCATAGTGTAATAACACGCTGCAGCTACATAAACTATAGTTATATAGATATACCTTACAGTAATCTAGATAATATCATTGAAAAAATATCAGTAAAATTAGATATCTTGTTTATAAGTCTGCTACCAACAAAATTATTTCATTATTTGCTGCAATTGACACAGAGTTCATGTACTTTTTATGCATAATTTGTAATAAGGATTAAATGATACCTTTTATTGCACAGTTACTGTCTAAAACTGCATCAATGTCTTATCTACCATACAAAGCCTCAAATGTAGCAGCTACACAGGCATATAGAATAGAGCACAGTTTGAATGAATGTCTGGTGATTCAGGTGTTGCTGTTTGCTTTAAATCATATTCAAGATCGTCAGAGAATGAGGACTTCCAATAAGGTTATTTATACTAACCAAATCCAATTACATCAGTCTCTAAAGTCTAGGGAAGAACTTCAAAGTTCTAAAATATTCTAAAATCGTTCATTGTATCAGTAGAAAAATTCATTATTTTTTTCTTTTTAAAAAATCAATGTCGCCAAATTATGCTTCCTGTTGCATAAATTTCCACACACTAGACAGAAAATTTTTAACGTAGTGCAAAAAGCAAAATTGGGATTTTGTTGCACTTTGGCCAATCTTAGTTAGAAATGACAGAAAATATTAATATTTACTTATTAAGACTTTTCAAAAACTATTTAGTACTATATGTAATTAACCCAACTAATACGACACGTTGTAATCTAACAGATATTGTATTGTACACAAAGCCGAGAGATTTGTCCTTTGTTTCTGGGTGTATGTGTCTAATTGGCATTGATGTCTCCATGTTGTCATAATGATACTCGGTGTTGGAGAAATGATAAAGAAATGGTCTTTTGATGACAAAAATGATTATTTATGTGTGATATGATAATGCGAGGGGGAAAATAATGACACATTCATAATGAAGTATACACAGGAATGGGATGTCTGGACACCTAGTTTTTTCAACCTTTGGCATCTTATCATTCATTGACAACAGCAATTGGCTTACGAGTAGGTTATTTAAAAAAGAAAGAAAGAAAAGAAAGTTTCTTTAGAGCTGTAGATCTGAAAACTCACTCCTGGACATTTTTCCTGATAATGTTTATGTGGAAAATTCATCCATGCTGTTAATATGCTCGGAGACAATAACGTACAGAAATTCATAGACTCATCAATCATTACACGTTTTGATTTCCTACCTGTTTGATATGATTTGAAATTTTGTTTCGAACAGAAGCAATGCATTTTGATTACCTGGACGGTTTGAGTTTGTTTGAATGAATTAGAAAAGTTTTAGCACATGAATATTCATCACAGCACTTTAGCACCAATCACAAGCCATGCATTTAGGTAATGTGTTGGAAAATAGAGATCCCGCAGCAAATGGGTTTGATGCTATCCCACATCCTTAGATTTGAACTTTTAGATCCGGAAAAAATGGTTGAATTCCTACTGATATAGCTATATATCTGAGGAACTAGGATTAAACAGAAATATTTAAGTTCCTAGATATATGTCGAAGAGATTTCTCGATTAATGATGTAAGTTTTCCGGATGCACCGTTCATGCTTGTCCTTGACAAATTCTTGAACATTGGTAGTTTTTTTTTATTTTCTATTTTTCTGTTGCTGTGTTTCTTAAGTAGATCTAAACGATGTAATTTAGATACTCTAGGCTAACCTCCATCATTAGTAATCAGGTAATGATTGTGTCTCCAATCGTCAGAATTCTTAGTATATGAACAGTTGGAGATGCAAATCAACCAAATTTAACTGAAAATAGCTGAGATTTTGATAGCTAGATTGTAGTACAAGGTAGGATTTAGATTGTACAAGTTCTGATTTAGATTGTAGTACAAGGTAGGATTTAGATTGTACAAGTTCTGATTTAGATTGTAGTACAAGGTAGGATTTAGATTGTACGAGATAGGATTTAGATTGTAGTACAAGGTAGGATTTAGATTGTACGAGATAGGATTTAGATTGTAGTACAAGGTAGGATTTAGATTGTACGAGATAGGATTTAGATTGTACGAGATAGGATTTAGATTGTACGAGATAGGATTTAGATTGTACGAGATAGGATTTAGATTGTACGAGATAGGATTTAGATTGTACGAGATAGGATTTAGATTGTACGAGATAGGATTTAGATTGTACGAGATAGGATTTAGATTGTACAAGGTACAATTAAGATTAAGCAAGGATATAGACTGGCTGGAAATTTAAGAATTAAGATTAGATGATTGAATTAGATTAATGTTGATTTGATAATGTTAGGAGAGATGTAATATAGAATATAGAATTACTCCGTCTCTGCTTCAATATTATATCAAATTTGAAAATCTTTTTCTAGAACTTAACAATGATTTTGAATATCAAATCATACATCATTGTAATTGACTGCTGAATGAAAAAATGTGTAAACATAAGAGATTCTAATGTCAGGCTGCTATCACTGTCCCTAGTTTCTGTATTTTAGTTTCATTATTCCTTTGCTGTCTCACCAGTTGTTGGTTCAGCAGTGATGTTTGTCATAAACTTTTTCAACTTAAAAGGTATTAAGTCTTATCATTGGCTACAACAGAAGATTTCATAACAGTCTTTATTGAAACTACTTTGTATTACTGTTCACAAAAATGCTGAGATGTAATTTTTGGAATATTGTGATTTAAAAAATGAAATGGAGGTGGAAAGGTTTTGTTTGAGATAATGATAAGATATATATAATGTTATATTCAAAGAGCCACCAAAATGAAATTGAAAGAAAACTACAGTTAGGATATTATATATAGGTTTAAAAGGATTTGAAACAGTACTATTCATGTGTATTGGAAGGTCAATAATACCTTATGTAGCATTTTCTATCAGCATTCACTTTAGCAACTGTACAAATTATATAAAGAACGCCATTAATAGCTATGATGAATGTTGAACATTCAGTGTCAATTGACCTATAATAAGCCCATGGGACACTTTTAGCCCTTTTTGAAATGGAATGAAATGCATGGGTTTGGGGTTCACTCCTTTTCAAGTGTACAGGCTATAAACATAGGACTATGGGCTTATTAGTGTTTGTTTTTACTTTGATACCTTGTCTCGTTTTCTGTACCCGTTTTTTATACCTATCATTTCACCTGTTTCAGGACTCTGCAGGCTCGTCACTTTACATACTATATAAGGCCATCAAGGTGCAGGTGGAGAAAGGCCCAATAGATCATGTGACCTGTGATGCGCGGTATTCATTGTCAGAGGACCGTCTGCTCAGGACAGAGTGTAAACTTGAAGTAGAAATGCTGGTTAGTAAATGTTCATAAGCCATACCACATACTTTTAATCTTTGAAATATTTTTTTTTTTTTTTTTTTACCTTGTGGTTCTTTATTTAACAAACTTTGATACATTCAGATGATAGGCAGATGAATTTTCTTACTAACACAGTATTTCTTAAATGAGACTCAGGGTAAGCTTCTTGTGGTTTATACTTGTAGAACTTGAATGTGGAGTTTGAGGGTAAGCGATACAAGTGCCGTGTTTTAGACTGTGATACTATTACACAAGCCAAAGAGAAGATGCTGGACACAATATTCCGAAACTTTGCCTATTCCCAGAGGCCATTAGCAGTAGAACTTGATTTAGGTATGTATGATTCAGTCGCCATGTTTATGCCATCTAGCTGCTTGTCTAAAATCTGTTTACTTGTCAGAGCTTTACTTGTCAAAAATCTGATGACAGAGTTCTAGTTCAAAATTTATCTACTAGTCCATAATTACAATTTTACTAGTCTTTAAATAAGTCCAAACTTTAAATAATAGTCCAAACTTTAAATAAAAGTCCAAAATTGATTTACTTTTTACAAATCCGAAATCCATTTATTAGTACAAAATCAGAACTTTACTAACCCAAAATCTCAAAAATAGTCAAAAATCTGTTTACCTGTCCAAAATTATTTACAAGAGCAAACTCATTTGCCAGGACAACATCTATTTACTAATATCTAGGACAAAATCTAGCTTCTAGTACAGTACTCTGTGAATGATATTTTGTTCTGGTTACAGAATTAAGTAACAGTGGCCGTATGATGTTGGACGAGGATAACACAACAATAAAAGTGGACGGCTGGAAACAGCTCAATACATTACAACATTACAAAGTGTTGGACCATTCAGAGATGGTTCTTACTCATCATCAGAACTGTCGAACTATGCCACGCTCACCCAATGGTAGGTTGTGATACAGCCATATACCTATATCAACAGGTTGTTTGTTTTTCTCGTAGACAGCTGCTTCTGACTTTTCAACAAATTTTAATCTATCTCAAAAAAAGGTTGATGATCAACTTCGATCTTTAAGTACTGTATAACAGGTTTATCCTGCACAAAATTTGCTTTTTGGTGGCAAAACCAGAATTTTGTAATTTTAGCTATGTCATATTTTTGCCATTGTAGAGCAGGAAGTTTAAATTTATATGATAGCTGTTAATTTAAAAATTGATTGGTTTAATTTTGGGAAAATGCAGTGAAGGGTGAAAAATTTTCTTCTCTTTTCATTATGTAGGTCAAAGAGATTATTGCTTTTCTGTTTCAGGTTCTGTCCACTCCATGGGCTTCCAACACAGGGATGCAGCTCCCATTGCTCGAAATGAAAATGAGGTTGGCACCAAGATCTGGCATCTGGTGAGTTACCTCCCTTCCTTAAATTGTTCATGTACAACATTATATATACTTAACTCCATTAGGGTTTCTTTTTACAACATACTTTTTTTTTTTAAATTGTCAAATTTTAATACTCAAGTTATAAATGTAATAATTATTTGTCAATATTGTTTTTAACAAAGCAAAATATAATGTCTATCTAATTAGTTCTTAGGGTACAAAGGTTTTATTAGGAAGGTTTCATAGGTTTCATCTGGATATTAAATAACAAAGAATATCTGACCAATTATTCTTATAGGTGAAACAACATGATGATTCTAACAATGGAGGAGGTCTTAAGATGAGCTCGGAGATTTATCTCACACGGCTGCTGGCCACCAAGGTAACTATAAGTTAATATCATCAGCTGTAACTTTCCAGCTTGCTTACGGGATCATTGTACTCAGAAAAAATTGTTTTCAATTTCAAACCTACATAGACTTTCAAATATTAACATATAAAATGTTTTTTAAGTCATCAAAAGTTTTTAGAAGCATGTGTTTCAGAGTTTTAATTATACTGTTCTTTGTAAACCATTTGGATTCTATGGTGGTTTTTTTACATCTTTTACAGGGAACGCTGAAACAGTACATAGATGATTTCTTTGAGATGGTCCTCAAGGTGGACAGCACCATGCCACCGGTGATTAAATACTTGTTTGATATGATGGATCAGGCAGCTCATCACTATAACATCACTGACCCTGATGTCGTCCATACCTGGAAGTGTAACAGGTAAGAAATGGAAAATATCTACAGCTCCAAAAGATATAGAAATCTCTATAACTGTAAGGAATGACATATTTATATATAATCCTCTATAAATGTAGAGACCCCAAAGGCTTATAGATAATTCTCTATAGATTTAGGGAACCAATTGCTTAAAATAGATTCTTGTAAATGTAAGGAACCAATTTTTAGAGAGAAGTCTCATTAAACATATTGAACCATGGGAATTTTTTATATTAATGTAAGGTACTAAATATAAGGGGAGAATGAAACAAAATAGTGATTTAAACAGAAAATTTCCATTGATGATATTGATAATATATTCATTAAAATCTTCTACATTTATGTATGTTATGAAATGAGACATGTATGAAAAATTCTTTTCTAGATATCCTGTCATTTTCAAGTGTGATGATTTTTGTCAGTTTTATTATAATTATTGAAGTTCCATGTGTAGATCTCCACTGTGATAATATATGTTGAGTACAGATGTATTATGAATGTCTTTATCTATACTTATTTTCATTTCAAGTTTGTTGTTGCGGTTTTGGGTTAACATTATAAAGAATCCCAACTTTGTATATGACATACAAAAACCAAGCATTGTGGATTCCTGTCTCTCAGTGGTAGCACAAACCTTCATGGACAGTTGCTCAACCTCAGAACACAGACTTGGCAAGGTGTGTCATTTTTGTTTCCTTTCTCTGACAGTTGACACAAAAATACAGATATGATTATTGTTTAATTAAATCAAAGGTTAAAGTCACTATCTTGGAAGAATATAGTAGTGAAATTAAAATTTCAAATAGATAAAAGATAATACAGATCACTTGAAAAAAAATGTAATAATATTAATTTATGTTAAATATGCTATATGGAATACAATTTTAACATATTTCTATTATCACTACAGGATTCTCCTTCAAACAAGCTTCTGTTTGCCAAAGATATTCCAAAATACCGCAAGTGGGTTGAGAAGTACTTCAGTGACATCCAGGCAATGCCGGCTGTCAGTGACCAAGACCTCAATGCTTACCTGGCCGACGTTTCTCGGGTACATAATTATCTATCACATTGTGAAAGTTAGGGCGTGGTAAATTTTCCTGTGGAGTAGAAACTTTGACTTACTACACCATGAATCCATTGAACATTAATCCTCTTGTTGAACAACATGATAAAGATGGTTGCAATGTGTGGTACAGGATGATGTTCTTCCTTTTATTTTGGTGGTCTTTTTTATGTCAGCAGCTTTCTATCAGCATTTTGTCCTTTCACTGATAACTTTGCTCCAGAAAGCTAGGAAAATGTTATTTCCTTTCCATTTTTTAATTTTTGTTAAATGTCATGCACTAATGATTTTTTTTTTTTTTTTTTTAAATATTAGTCATGCATGCATTTAATTATCAAATTTTTTTTTGCTATTGTTGTCCTTTGATATCTACATACATAAGTAATGTTGCACTTAAAATGATGTATTTGTTACAGATGAGCACGGGCCATTTTACCAAGCAAAATGCCTTGTATGAGTTGTACAACTACGTACAGAAATACAATAATGAGGTATGGTCATATGTTCTGAAAAGAAAAGATAAAATCATTTCAAACAAAGAATTGAATTTTCATGTTTAAAGAAACCTTAATTTACTGAAACCTTTGCTGATTGACACCTGTTTTTTATAAACCTCAGACCTGACCATCATTTTGGTTATCCCAGAATTGTCTGTGAATTTAATTGTTGCTGTTATGTTATTTGTAATTGTTCATTATTTTCATTTCAGATAAATGAGAGTTTGGAATTGGATGGTTTTGCCAGTGCCCAACAACTTCCCGCCAAATTAGGTCATGTGATCACTGCAATGGAAGGGCCAAGTCGGTATATGCCAGACTATGTATGACCGGTTCAGAGGTCATGACCTCATGTTCACCTTCACCAGATATTCACCAATGCCGTGTCTTTCATCTTTTTGGGAACAGTATCACATCGCGACTACTGAACATGTTTGTAAAGCATCTTAACGTGTGTGTTGTACGACTGTGGGCAGATCTAATCATAGATTGCGTGTACCTGTATCGATATGCCATGTGTCGAGGTGTATTTGTATATTTTGATTTTTACCAAGGAGATATGTTCTATCATCATTTATTTAAATGTACGTGTATGTATACATCACTTGGTCATGTGATAGGTGTCTAATACACCACTACGTGTAGATTAATATATAACATATATATATATATGTTCATTACGATTGTAAGCGTCAATGTCATTGTCCTGTCCATTATAGTTCATTACTAACATGATGGTCTATGCAGAAACTTTGTTCAATAATTACCAAAGACTATAGAATAACTAAAGCCGTTTCCTTTTGAAAGTGTGCAACATTAGAGTTATATGTATACAATATGGATATTCTACAAATAAATTGAGAGAGAACTATTCATCTACAAAACCAAATTTAGATACAGTGCTGATTTGTAGTCAAACTGCTGATTGTTGTAAATCTACAAAATGTTCACGTTGTAGATAGGGCATAATTGATTTTCATTTACCAGCTTCATACACGTTCATGCATATTCATCAACAAATATACATATGAATATACATACATGAGATTCATGTATACTAAAGTCACTATTATATGTATTCATTCTCATGTGTTCAAATCATTACATATTAAAATGAATTTGAACATTTATGAATATTCATAAATGATGAGTCACTAATATATAAATGTTCATAATATCAAATAGTCATATAAACATGGGAGTAAATTATGAATATTCATGCATCATAATTCGCAAATGAATATTCATGCATATTTTTAATTATGCAATAGTCATACTTGTTTATTCATATTCATATGCAATATCACCTGGTGATATTCATAGATGTCAATAAGTATTTGTATTAATTTCCAAAACAGATGTAAAATATCATACGATATAATTAGAACATATTTATGTATAGAAATCGGGCTCATTGATAAAACCATACAACTTGGTGCTTTTATTTGTCTTTGTATTGCAGTTGTGTTTAGCTAGTATGTCTGTAAGCAATTTAAAATGCTTATAACACCAATATGTATCTCGGTGCATTATTTATAGGATTGGTAAAATGCAGATTTGAAGGTATATGCACCTTTGATTAGCATGTTAGCTCAGAAGAGGTCAACATTTGACAATACCCAACAAATGCAAATCGTCAAAACCTTCTCTTCTACTTATCAAACTGATATTTATTATCACCATGACAACTAAACTTAGTTTGATCAAGAGTATAATATTTTGTTTCTCTTTGACTTTGACTTTAGTATGATAAAAATGTGAATGTTGACAATTTTCTATATCTCACCTCTTGGCTCTCTCAGGTAATGATTTTGTATTACTTTTATCACAGAGTTTGTTAATTTGATAGTTTTGTTTGTGTGACTTTGTTAAATGTTCCTCTATATACACATTCTTTACATGTGTAATATTTCAGCTCAGCTGATCTGAATAAGTGAGATCATGCCATGGTGCCATGTTGGTCTATCTGTCAATTTCTAGCTCACCACAAAATCATATATTCAAATAACATTCAGATTTATTTTTCTGATGGGAGTAGCCATGTAGAAGATTCAAAAAAAGGGGCGAAATTAATTCTTTTAATAAGGATGCCTTCTCCTAATAATGTTAAAACAGATGATGTATTCAGTTAGAACTTTTTAAACTATATAATATATGAGATGCTTACTTATGTTAGCTTTAATTAATCCTGGTAAGCTATAATTTCAACTGGGCCTATTGTTTCATTGAACTACAAGTTTCAGGTCGGTTTCACTACAATTAAGTCTTTAACTTTTAAATCAATGGCTGACTCTCTTATCGAATCACAGTTTTTACCTTTGTCATTGAGATTAGATGTCATGCTGATAAAACAAAGTTTACGTTACAATAAGCCCAGGGACCCAGAGCATAACCTCGCAAATTATGGATGTGGGTTTTCCATTTTACAACCTTTCTGCTGATTGTACAATCTGGTGTTTTTTTTTCTTGGAAGCAGGCTGGATAAGTAGGGTAAAGTCAATCTGGTGTGTACGTATAAGTTGTATATGCCTTACACATGTACTCAGTAACCTCTAATTTGATGTTTTTCTATATAGTCCTATTTACTGTATACCGTGAAATTTTTGCCCTCGTTTTATTTTCAGTGTTTTCGTCCACGATTAGGGAGGCAGAATTTAAGATGGAGGCAAAATTTTGTTACACTTATATAACCCTTTTAATGGGCGAAATGAACATGTAGTGAATAAGTGTATAATAGTACATTAAAGGTGAAAATAACCCAGAACAAAAATATCTCAGTATACAGTATTCTCATTATGGGATAATATGTCATATTGTATGAGAATGTGTATTCCTATGCTAAAAAAATATGATTTGATCTTAGAGATGTTTTACTTGTACAAGATATGTTCTTAAGAATACTTTTTAGGTGCATTGCTGATTTTAAAATGTTAACACCATCATAAAGATATTGAAATTTTGCTGATATGCAGATTCGATATATCAACATCACAATCTTAAACCATTTGTTTATTTGTATGTTGATTTCAGAAACAATTCATTCTTGATTATGACATAATAACAAATACAAACAATCATTATGATATTATTGCATTATTTCGTTTTCAATGATGGAATAAAAATTCTAAATGTAAATTGATATACTAGGCAATATTAGCATTGAATGCCTTTTTCGGTACGGGAGCTGAAAGATGTGGGGAGAGAGAGAGATCGTGTGTAGCTGTTAAAACACAGTTTTAAATTTCTATTATTGTACATTTGCTATAATTATTTATCAAATTTGTTCAAAATGTTCCTGTTTAAATATATTTGTTTATATCTATATAGCCCGAATGTGTTCTATGTAAATGTTAAGTTCCTGGTCCATTGTATGTCATTCTCAATGTTAAATCTTTGCTGTCTACCCCTTTCACAGTTAGTTAACATATGCACTTGAGTCAACTTATGGCATGTACACTGTTGACATCATTGATGAATCCAGGAGAGAGAAAATTTGACCCTTTTTTTTCCTCTAAATTGATGGTTAAAAGTCTTTTTGTATGGTGAGGTTCCCCAAGACCCTGCCTTGCTAAGTTAAACAAAAATCTGAAATTTGGGCCTCCTGCTGTGGAAATATCCTGGATCTATCAATGAAGTGATGAAAGGACTTGATAATTACATCATATGCTTATTGGTTAATATTCTGTTTTGTGTTTTTGATGTTTAATATTTGTATCACTCTCTGCAAACTTATGTGCCAAAAATATGATTATACTATTTGTATAGTGTTTGACTGTAGATCTTGTTATGTCATATCTGTGTATCAGTGGTTTTATTTCACCTGGTGGTCAGATCAGAAATTATCTCAATTTTTCTCGTTAGTACTATGTGACAGCAAAGCAAGAATTCTTCCATTATAAACAATGATATACAATAGAAGACGTAACAATAAAACCAAAGTACATATTGTTAAGATCAAATAAAATTTCCATTGAAAGTAGATTTTTTCTGTATCAGAAAGAAAACTGAATTCTTTGATAAATGCCAAACTTCATGTGTGAATTTCTTCATCTAGACCCTCAAATCAGGAAGATGTAGCAGATCAGAGCAGTATATTTTATAAGTTCTAAGTCTTTGAAGATGAAAATTTTCTTGATAGATAATTCAACTCATTTTACACAAAAAGTGTTTTTAATCTACATACATAGCGTACCAAAAAGGTACCATTTTGTGTTTTCTATTCAACAAATATTTTAAATTCATTTATTTTCATGAATTTTATTCTTGATTTTGACAAGATTAAAGACCTTATTTTATTTTTACTGTTTTTTATATGTATTTATCCCTTTCCACTTACACCAATAGCTGTTGAATTTTAAGGTATTTTTCCTATCAATGAATAGTTGATAATTTGTAATGGTGACCACTTTCTGCTTTAAAAAAAATTTTCCTGGCACATTTTTTGATATTTGGGAGATTTTTTATCATTTAATAGTGACATCTATTGACGAGACAACATTGGAAGCTTCTGCTGTCATGGCAACCTTTTCATGTTCAGTCATCTCTTAGTCACACCTCTTGTTTGCCTGTGTACAAAGGGAATGGCGTGTTGTTAAGTCACAGCATACATCAGTGTAATACTATGAAAGGGTCAATTCACCACACAAAATCAAATTTTTTTTCATTTTTAAAGATAATTACAATCAAATGTTTTACTGGTGATTTTGCTGGGTTATATAGGATATAGGGTTAGAAATGTGAGACAAGGATTCAGTCCTTCGATGTTTTGTATGTTTTTGTCAGCGTCATGTGACACCTTAGTCACTAGTCACATGACCTTTTTTTGTACACAAGGTGAGAGTAGAGGATCATGTGACTTTTATAGCCCAGAACCAAGTGATCACGAAAACATTTAAACATCACAAATGAACTTTACATAAATATACAACCACCAGAATTTTAGATTTGTCGTAACTGATAATCACACATCAATATTTCAAGGTCACATGATCATGCAATATTTTCAATATAATTTGGTCATGTGACTGTTTGTATCAGATGCTTGATGACCATTGTAATGTCATGTGATCTGACCACTACTGACCACTGGTCAGTTCTTAGCCATTATGACACTTTCTCTAGATGCCTTCATTACCTGTTTACTCATGTACATTTCAGTAATTTGCATATTATATGATACTAGTAGAAAACCAAGTGTACTTGACAAGAAAATTAAAAGAAATATGATTTTCCTATATAATACAACCTGTTGTTTGTTTTCTTTTATTTATCCATCAAAGGATTTTTTTAATAGAAAATAAATCCTTTAATTTGGAACATATCACCCCAGAGATGAAAAATATGACAATGGATGCAAATGTATAATATTTTATTCATGATCTTAGTGACTGGGATACAAATTAATATTAGCAGGATGGGTCAGACTGCATCTCTGTTGGGGTTCATACAGATAAGGGATGTAAGTGGCCAATGCTGAACAGAGAGAAATGTTTGGCATGTCAAACACACCACAATGCTGAACAGAGGGAAATGTTTGGCATGTCAAACACAGGACAATGCTGAACAGAGGGACATGTGTGGCATGTCAATCATAGGACAATGCTGAACAGAGAGAAATGTTTGGCATGTCAAACACATGACAATGCTGAACAGAGAGAAATGTTTGGCATGTCAAATACAGGACAATGCTGAACAGAGAGAAATGTTTGGCATGTCAAACAGGACAATGCTGAACAGAGAGAAATGTTTGGCATGTCAAACACAGGACAATGCTGAACAGAGAGAAATGTTTGGCATGTCAAACACAGGACAATGCTGAACAGAGAGAAATGTGTGGCATGTCAAACACAGGACAATGCTGAACAGAGAGAAATGTTTGGCATGTCAAACACAGGACATTGCTGAACAGAGAGAAATGTTTGGCATGTCAAACACAGGACAATGCTGAACAGAGAGAAATATTTGGCATGTCAAACACAGGACAGAAATGTTTGGCATGTCAAACACAGGACAATGCTGAACAGAGTGAAATGTTTGGCATGTCAAACACAGGACAATGCTGAACTGAGGGAAATGTTTGGCATGTCAAACACAGGAAAAGCATTACAAGAGGGACATGTTTGGCATGTCAAACACAGGACAATGCTGAACAGAGAGAAATGTTTGGCATGTCAAACACAGGACAATGCTGAACAGAGAGAAATGTTTGGCATGTCAAACACAGGACAATGCTGAACAGAGAGAAATGTTTGGCATGTCAAACACAGGACAATGCTGAACAGAGAGAAATGTTGGCATGTCAAACACAGGACATGTCAAATGTCAAACACAGGACAATGCTGAACAGAGAGAAATGTTTGGCATGTCAAACACAGGACAATGCTGAACAGAGAGAAATGTTTGGAATGTTTGGCATGTCAAACAGGACAATGCTGAACAGAGAGAAATGTTTGGCATGTCAAACACAGGACAATGCTGAACAGAGGGAAATGTTTGGCATGTCAAACACAGGACAAGGCTTAACAGAGGGAAATGTTTGGCATGTCAAACACAGGACAATGCTGAACAGAGAGAAATGTTTGGCATGTCAAACACAGGACAATGCTGAACAGAGAGAAATGTTTGGCATGTCAAACACAGGACAATGCTGAACAGAGAGAAATGTTTGGCATGTCAAACAGGACAATGCTGAACAGAGAGAAATGTTTGGCATGTCAAACAGGACAATGCTGAACAGAGAGAAATGTTTGGCAAGTCAAACAGGACAATGCTGAACAGAGAGAAATGTTTGGCATGTCAAACACAGGAACAGAGAGAAATGTTTGGCATGTCAAACACAGGACAATGCTGAACAGAGAGAAATGTTTGGCATGTCAAACACAGGACAATGCTGAACAGAGAGAAATGTTTGGCATGTCAAACACAGGACAATGCTGAACAGAGAGAAATGTTTGGCATGTCAAACACAGGACAATGCTGAACTGAGGGAAATGTTTGGCATGTCAAACACAGGACAATGCTGAACAGAGGGACATTTGTGGCATGTCAATAACAAGACAATGCTGAACAGAGAGAAATGTTTGGCATGTCAAACACAGGACAATGCTGAACAGAGAGAAATGTTTGGCATGTCAAACAGGACAATGCTGAACAGAGAGAAATGTTTGGCATGTCAAACACAGGACAATGCTGAACAGAGAGAAATGTTTGGCATGTCAAACACAGGACAATGCTGAACAGAGAGAAATGTTTGGCATGTCAAACACAGGACAATGCTGAACAGAGAGAAATGTTTGGCATGTCAAACACAGGACAATGCTGAACAGAGAGAAATGTTTGGCATGTCAAACACAGGACAATGCTGAACAGAGAGAAATGTTTGGCATGTCAAACACAGGACAATGCTGAACAGAGAGAAATGTTTGGCATGTCAAACACAGGACAATGCTGAACAGAGAGAAATGTTTGGCATGTCAAACACAGGACAATGCTGAACAGAGAGAAATGTTTGGCACAAACACAGGACAATGCTGAACAGAGAGAAATGTTTGGCATGTCAAACACAGGACAATGCTGAACAGAGAGAAATGTTTGGCATGTCAAACACAGGACAATGCTGAACAGAGAGAAATGTTTGGCATGTCAAACACAGGACAATGCTGAACAGAGAGAAATGTTTGGCATGTCAAACACAGGACAATGCTGAACAGAGAGAAATGTTTGGCATGTCAAACACAGGACAATGCTGAACAGAGAGAAATGTTTGGCATGTCAAACAGGACAATGCTGAACAGAGAGAAATGTTTGGCATGTCAAACACAGGACAATGCTGAACAGAGAGAAATGTTTGGCATGTCAAACAGGACAATGCTGAACAGAGAGAAATGTTTGGCATGTCAAACAGGACAATGCTGAACAGAGAGAAATGTTTGGCATGTCAATCACAGGACAATGCTGAACAGAGGGAAATGTTTGGCATGTCAAACACAGGACAAGGCTTAACAGAGGGAAATGTTTGGCATGTCAATCACAGAACAATGCTGAACAGAGGGAAATGTTTGTCATGTCAAATACAGGACAAGGCTTAACAGAGGGAAATGTTTGGAATGACAAACACAGGACAATGCTGAACAGAAGGAAATGTTTGGCATGACAAACACAGGACAAGGCTTAACAGAGGGAAATATGTGGCATGTCAAACACAGGACAATGCTGAACAGAGAGAAATGTTTGGCATGTCAAACACAGGACAATGCTGAACAGAGAGAAATGTTTGGCATGTCAAACACAGGACAAGGCTTAACAGAGGGAAATGTTTGGCATGTCAAACACAGGACAATGCTGAACAGAGAGAAATGTTTGGCATGTCAAACACAGGACAAGGCTTAACAGAGGGAAATGTTTGGCATGTCAAACACAGGACAATGCTGAACTGAGGGAAATGTTTGGCATGTCAAACACAAGACAATGCTGAACAGAGGGAAATGTTTGGCATGGCAAACACAGGACAATGCTGAACAGAAGGCATTGCTGGACAAATGGCAATGCTTGACAGAAAGCAATGCTGGACAAAGGGCAATGCAAAGAGACACAAATGGCCTTGTGGCCTTGATAGTCATCTGAGATAAGTAATATTGAATGTAAAGGTTAAAGGATAGTTATCAAGTGTCAAGAAACAGAAATTGTGATACGGAATATAGTAAGCCAGTGTTAGTACATGCATACCATCGAAACAGTGATGTATACTAATGATTCTTACAAAGTTATTTCCAGTGGGAAATAACCAACATTATGTTCAAAATGCATTTTTTCTATGAAAATTAAAGTAAATTCTATAAAACTTTCCTTCCCAGAAACAAATGTGAGACTCATTTGGGTAATTAAAGCACCTTAGGATGCTTCCATTAATACAGAGCATTTAATTTTACCATATCTGAATGTTGAGAATAAGATTTTTGAAATTAAAGTCAATTTGACCCCTTTTGGTTTCATCCATCAGCCCCTGGTGGGCAGTCATTATCAAAATGGGCATACCATCAAGCTGTCATCCTTCACTCATAATTCTAAACAAGTTTGAAATATTTTCAATGGAAACAAATAATGCTAAAAATCTAATTTTCCTTTATAAACTGTAGTAAACTTTACCCCCATCCACGGGGAAATGTGAGACCCTGGGGCCATGAAATTAACAATTTTGGAAAAGCACCTTATGATGTTTTCATCTATGAATAGTATTTGATTTTACCATACCTGGGTGATGAGAAGAACATTTTCAAATTTAAATCAATTTGACTCCTTTTGGCCCCGCCCCTCAGGCCCCTGTGGAGTGGGGACTGCACCATTCACAATTGTGGTTCAATTATAGGTCAGGGAAAGTTTCTGCAAAATTTCATGGAAATCGGATCACGGGTTTTTTTTAATTGTTTACGTACGCACGATGCCGGATGAAGGTGATCGCAATAGACTTAATCTCAGATGACCTAAAATCTTGACGGAAGATAAAACTGAACAGGGCAAACAAAGAGCAATACTGTAGAGGGCTATGATTATCATAGGTCCTTGATGGACAAAAGGAAATGCTTGTAAAAGGGTGATGGTTGACAGGGCAAAGAAGAAAAAGCTGGACAAACAGCAAATCTTGACAGCTTAAATAAAGGGCAAGTTTGATAGGGCAAACAAAGAGCACTTATGGACAGATGGCAATCTGGGCAAAGAGCAATGCTTTAGGGGGCAAAAAGGAAAAAGCTGGATATGATAGGATAGGATAATATTGGGCGGAGGGCAATGCTGGTCATGGCAAAGAGAGGACAGTGCTTGACAAGGCAAAGTGGAAAAGGGTGGACAGAAGACAAACAAAAAACAATTCCGGACTATGCTTGACGGGGCAAGCAAAAAGGTAATGCTGGACCAAGGAAAATGCACGGACGAAGACGATATAGGACAGATGACTATCGGAGGGTAGTGATGGACAGAGGACATTGCAGGGCACGTGACAAATTAGCAGGACCACAACAAAAAAACATGCTCCTTTGGACCAGGAGATCTAAACATGGCTCACAGATGGTCATCTTTTATTCAAACCAGTAAAGCAGCTTGGCAGTTTTATCTTACTTTTAAATAAAGATTGTCAATCACTCCAACAAACTTGACTGCGCTTAATCCAAATATGGTGCTTGACGACCTTGAGTGTACTGTCTGAGATGTTTGAAGATTTTAATGCTTTAGATCTGTTTCACAGCGGAAGTGGGTCAAGACCGTTCATTTCAAGTTTCAAGTCTTATCAAAATTTCAGGAGTTGACATTTGTCAAATATCATGGTCTTTTGATAGTAGGCCTACAGAAGAAAACGTTGTAAGATGCACGGTTATTTACTTCACCAAACTCAAATACCATTCATCCCAATATACCACAGGATAAATATGATAAGGCCAACAATTTTGATAGCTTGTCGTCTTGATAGAGGGCATATGATCCTGAGACCTTGGAAATTGATAAAGGTCATGTATTTAAACAAATGTGATAGCACTCCATATCAGAACGCCAAATAGCATTAACTTTGGGGTCTTTACTTATATTTCTTCACTCAGTAGTAAAACTAAGATACATGGTATAACGAGCCTTTTGAAATGTCCAAAGCTTACATTATACAGTGCATATCCTTGTTTGTAATAACAGTAAAACATAATGTTTTACGATGAAAATAGAAGTGATATTTTCACTGAATGAAAATAAAAGTTTTGGCCTGTTATTTTCGCTCGTTTTAGACCAATAAGATAATACCATTTCCTGTGAATATCAATTCTCCCAAGGTGCATTGCAGACTTCAGAAACGACGTTCCAACTCTGGTAAAAACAGTGAAAAAATACGCACGTGAAATGGTAAGATGTTTTTGCTATGATTTATGTATTAGTACTGTTCAATCTTAATCAGTCATTGGCGTGTTTTATGTGTTGTATCTACTGGCAAGTGCTTAATGTCAAATTATAATGAGACATAGATGTGAAATGATGTTATTTGGTGGAGAACATGTTGTACATGTGTATACACAAAACAGCAAAAAATTCAAAGTGGCATCAACGAAAGGTGTGAAAATGTTATACAGCTTGTATTTCATCTCGAGGGGTTTAGACTGATATTTTTACGGGTGTGCAAATATCAAAGTTTCAGTCCCGCTCGATGCAAATTTAGATTTCATTCGTCAAAAAATAAACAATATTCTATATATTCTATATTCCTATGGCTATGCTTGGTTATAACCGGAACATTGACGTAAATCTACATCAGACGATCAAGGAACAATTATAACACCGTTTCATTTAATATGTACAACACGTGATTAATTAGCAGATTAGCCTTAGTCAGGAACTGTAAGACTGTTTCTCGTACCTATTACAATAAGGATATATTGAAAAACAGATGAAATTAATGGGAAAAAAACTAGTAATTAAAACTATCACGGTATAAAGATCGTTATAAGTTATAAATTACATATGTATTTCCACTTGATTGCTACTTTATGACGTTAACTTCACATAGTTTTACATTAACGATTCTGTAAATTTCATGGTTATATACAGGATTTGACATAATTTCTACATATTGTCAATTGTAATGTGGTCCTGTACACTTAAATACACTGGGAAGACCATCAGACTACGCTCAGTCCAAACCTACCTGGCTTGTTGAAAGTAAATGTCACAAGTTTTTAAAGAAATAATCGAAATCGGAACCAGGTAACCAGCGATCAGAACGTTTTTACAAGACTAGTAGTTAGAAAGAAATATTAAAAAATAACAGGAAATTCCATCATATACCAAATGGGCATTAATAATCATTTTCAGTAAAAAAAAATCAGGATCTATTGTCAAATGGTCAACTGTACTTCAGCTCTTGGTGGTGCTTGGGGAATGGACTGCAGATATTCTACAATGTATATTACGGAGATGAAATCGACGTCAGTTGCATGTGGAGTTCATAAATGGCGTTTGACAAGGTTATAAATCGCAGACTACAGAGTTCTAGTAAAAGTAGTTAAGCCGTTAATTGCGTACATTCAAATGTTTGTTGTATTAATGGAACCAGGAAGTATATAAAGGGATACTTTAAGGAAGTTTTTTTTATAAAGTAAAAGACGTTGAAACTGGCAGTAATGAGAGTTCATCGAAGGACCATCATGAAGGCAATTATGGGTAATTATTCCGACAGTGACTTCAGATGATTCAGAGGAGATACAACTATTGTCTACAAAAAAACGAACAATTTTCACAATATGATGCAAAAAAAAGAGATTGCCACACAGACATCATACATTCCTTTAGATTCAGGATTGACATTGATCTTGGGCAGCCTCCCAGATGCGGTTATACAGGCAACAACAATTAGAGACTTTGACTATCGGGTTGGACATCAATTGGAAAAGTCATCCCATGCATGCGTATACCAGGTTACGTACTTCCGTCATACGGAGCGTCTGTACATCTAATCATGCGCAGTAATGTGTGGGCGTATACCAGGTTACGTATTTTCATAATACGGAATGTTTGTACCTATAACCAAGTGCAGTGATATGCGTGCGTATACCAAGCTACGTACTATCATTCTACTGAGTGTTTGTAAATCTAACCATCTCGGATAACATTTATCGTTTCAAAATAAATATGATAGAAACGCATATAAATACATACCAAAAGTGTACAAAATTACGTACCCTCATTCTATTAGAGGGATAGGAGACTGTCTATATACCCCTTTGTAAATCTACAGCAAAAATATTCGAAATAGATAGGGTAAAGGTAAATAGCAACTGTGAGGTGAGAAGATTTTGATGAGCTCACGGCGCAGTGAACAAGCACAAATGTTAACGCTTAAGAAGCCACCATTAGGTCTCGTTTCTTTTCTAGAGCCTATATTATATATTACATACATGTCTGGATAATGTGTATATGTGCCACTGTGGTGGCCACCATATCTTTATGTTACATGAAATCCTTATTGACTTATAGATACCGATGACGGGATTTCAGAGATGCTGAGAAATCCAAAACGAAAGTGTAAGGTCTAAAAATAGAACGGACAAACAGCCTCGCTTTGAATTAATACAGGAAGTCACATGAACGCTGGCAGTCAGAGAAAACAGGACGAAGGCAATACTAACTGCCTTAGTAACTTTTGTTTTGATGTCAAACATGTTTTATTAAGTTTTTTTTTTACCAACATTCAAACAAACTTTGAAATTTGTTAGCTGCGGCGAGGAATATGTGCGAGTATTCCATGTCTTCTATGATATGAGCTGTGATCACGCGCTGGATTTATTTTTTGAACAGGTATTTGTTTAGTACACCGGAGACACTTTCGAAATTCAATAAAGCGGAGCTACACTTGACTTAGCAAGTTAAATGGAAGATGACAACATGTGACTTTACATCCGATTATGGTACAAAACCATAAAATCCAAACATGACAGGCGATTTTTGACAGACTTGAAAAGTAGGAGAAAAACATTCCATTTCAAACGGATCCAACAATATGAGTAACACGTATGATGATCCAGCGGCCCGCCCACTGTTTGGCGATCCGCAGCCACGGGTATGTAAAAAAAAAAAACCAAACAATTGACACATGTACTGAGGTTGGACATTCAACAAGTACCCAATCTAATCAGAGTTGATTCTGTAATTGATGTATTATCACTGTTGTATCGAATATCCATGATAAAGATTAACAGCAATTTCATAATCTGCTTAATTAACACCACAAACCAAAACTGGATATACACTGCAACAAGATATTATATCTATGATATATTAAAGAGCAGTATGTCCAACAGTGCCTTTAAAACATGCAGTCACACACATAGAATATAAGTGTGGGCCAGTATTCTTTGAAAAGGGGCAATCTTAATCAGCATTGACATTACTTATAGCCTTGTTCAGCTAAGTTAAGTGGACCTTTTTCAGAGTAGAATTCTCAGGAATAAATCTCATCAGAAATATATGTTTCATTATAATAGCCACACCATTATAAATGTTGATAGAAACCCAAATATCCACGACTAGAATAAGTCCTGGTTGGACCATATCATCTATTTCACCTACTTCAATCAAATCCAGTAAAAAAAATGGTTTATACTTCATACAGGAGTAGTAAATTAGTTCAACGAGACTGAGCTTGGATATTATGCTTTAACGCTGATAATTTTCATTATTTTATCAGAGAAAGTTAAGCACAATATGTACACATTGTTTAGTTATTTCATTGCAGTAATAAAATCTTATTTCTTCATATATAGGATCGGATGCTGAACCTTGTGGTTGCGGTATTTACCAGTATTATAGTTGCTGTAAGTATAAATCCTGATTCACAAATTATGTAATGGAACTTAGAGCCATAACGTTAGAATGTTGATATATATTTCCTGTAGACCTTGGTGTAATGTTAATGTGTAGATTTCTTATGGGTAATTCTTTCAAGTCTAGGATATTCCTGAAAAATTTGTCTGATTATTTTGGCATTAGTCCCCTACCAGTGACACTGGGGGAACTATAGCTCTCCTGTCTGTCTGTAAATCTGAGTAAATATATACATACATGTATGTATTACCAACATTTGTCATTGCTCCAGCAGTTTCATTCCTCGAGGGATATTCCTCATACTTTACACACTTATGAATTGTCATAATATCTTGAACAAACGTAAGCTTCAGGGTGGTTGGGTTAAGGTCAAGATAAATATTACTATATATAGAAAATTGTTGTCAGCATTTAGCAGCTTTATTTTTTATGGGATTTTGACCAAACGTCACATATCAACAAATGACCATAACATCTTGGACAAGTTCGTGTTTCAGGGTTGTTGCATCAAGTTTAAATCCGGGTTACTATATTTTAAATCATTGTCAGCACTCTAGTGGTTTGATTCCTTTAGAAATATTCTTATGAAGTATGAGTATATCAAGATCATCATTGCTCATGGGATTTTGATCCCACACTTACAAACAACTTAAAATTCTCTGAGACATTTTGAATTTCATGGTTCTTGGGTCAAGGTCACTGTTACCATTTTTAGAATGTTTTGTCTGTTTCCAACCAACCTCACTTATTCAAGGATTTTCATGTATTTTCACAAACATTTACAGCACTAAAATATCTTAAATCGATCTGTGCTCTTAAAAATGACCATATGACATTATTACACATTAATAATGAAATTGTATTGTCAGATTGTAATAAATATATATTGCATTGCTATGTTAAAATCAGTATAAATCTTCACTTTGTATACTGAGGGGTCCAGAATGCGAGTGTATTGTTTTAGCAGAATTTGATAAGCTTTGTTATAGGAGTATGTATTCAATAAACTCTGTACCAATGTAAAAAGGAGTAGAGAGAATGTCTGAATAATTCAGGTCACTGTCCAATATAAACAACTATGTACCTTGTAATTAAGTCCAAGAGAAACAAGTAAATGTCTATTTACAGAGGTTAAACTATACAGTTAAAATTCAAGGCTGAGGTACAAAAACTTTCAATTACAATTGTTTTCTTTTTTACCTTTTCTTTGAAGAATGTCATGTCTCGAACATGATTATGATACACACAGTGCTTGTTGTACTTCTAACCAAAATTTGTGTTTAAGACATTTTTTTTTATCATTTCAGGTGACTTTGATTAGTGCTTTCGTCTTTCCAAACTGGCCACCTGGTGGAACCAATGTCTTCTTTGCTGTTATTATAGTTTTGATCTGTGCTTCACATTTACTTCTGGTATTTACCTTTGATTTGAACATACCATTTTCATTGATCAATTATAATTCTGATTTTTAGCAAACCTGGCCTGAAAGGCCAAGTGAGCTATAGGGATACCAATGTGTCTGTCGTCTGTCAACTGTTACTATATATTGCAACCATTCGTGAAGGACTGAGCAGATTTTACTCAAATTTGGTCTGAAGCAACCTTGGAGAAAGGGGAACCAATTTTGTGCAAATGATGGGTCTCTGCCCTCACTCATCAGGGCTTGAGGAGTGGGGCTCATTAGGGAAAATCAATCAATTTCTTTAAAATCTCTATCTTGTTCTTTAGGAATTCCAGGATATTGTCCAAATTTGGTCTGAAGCATGCTTTGAAGAAGAAAAATCAGTTTTGTATAAACCTTAGGTCTTGGCTCCCTGGGACCAGAGGGGCAGGGCCCAATAGGAAAAATATATCAATTTTGTTGAAATCTATCTTGTTCTTCAGGAATTGCAGGATATTTTCTAAAATTGGTCTGAAGCATACTTAGAGGAAAGGAAATCAGTTTTTTTTTATAAATGATAGGTCTTTGTCGCTGGGGTTAGAGGGGCGGCGCCCAACATGGAAAATCTATGAATTTCTAAAAAATGTATATTCTTCTTACAGAATGGTAGGATATTGTCTATAATTGGTCTGAAGCATGCATGGGTGAAGGGAAATCAGTTTTGTGTAAAGTGTGGGTTTAGACCCCCTTGGGCCAGTTGGGTGAGGCCCAGCAGGGAAAATCTAACCCTCAAGAAGATTTAGTTCATTTTCATATAATTGCATTGTACCATCAACAATTCATTTGGATCTTTGGCTCTTTGAAACAGTTGTGATCATCACTGAATAACTATAGCATTGCTGATCATCAAGAGATAGACACAATTATAACTGATAATTTGTCCTGGGGTCTGGTCCCACTCCAGGACAGATTATATCTTTGAAACCATTGAGATTACCATCCCATAACTTGATAGCATTGCTGGACATCAAGAGATTATCAAGTGATCTTTGCCCATGTCCCTAAGGAATTTGAAGCTGTATCTGTGGGGTGAGGACCATTGGGGGAAATGGTTTCCTTGTAAAGAAATGTAAAGTTTTGCATTATTGACTTAAATTTTCAGATGAGCAATACAGGCCCTCTGGACCTCTTGTTGTTTTTAGAATGCCTTTCGTTCAATTCACTTCAGACTCTCTTTCAGTAGATCTGTTTTAAAGAATTATTCAGTGTATGTCCATGATATTTGCTTTGTGGTAGCAAAAGTCACCAAGGTGTTAAAACACTCTATCAGAAAAATATTTTATGATGAACCAAGAGGCCAACAGTTGTTATTGCCTAATAGGTTCCTAAGATTAAGTATGACTACGATATTTTGTGAAAAAATGACTTTGACCCATATTCAACATCTAAGGATTCAAAGTTGTCAAAATATTCAAACGACTTCTGTTGCTTAGAATGTGTGAAATAATTAATTTTCATGGTGGTTTTATTTTCCATCATTTCATGGTTACCCTTAACAAGAAATTCATATGTCCACAAACTTTCAAATTAAGTGTAAATAAATTTATTGAACGGTATTAATCATGAATTGCCCATGAAATTGTTATTTTTTGACATACAATGAAAATTAAGGCCAACTAATATATCTGATTCTGCAGTGATGATATTGAAGGTTTTGCCTTATTCAGTTTACTTAATTTCTTTATCTGTTATTATTAAAAGCACTGATTTGTTATGTTGCAGATTTATTGGTACAGACAAGGGGACCTTGAGCCAAAGTTTAGGACCATGATCATTTACAATGCATTTACCATCATTTTACTGTGTGTATGTGGTAACTTATACATTCATGAAATTGGGATTAAAAAAAATCCAAAATAACTTAAATAGTGTCATGCCAGCCATGTCAATTGCTTGTTCAAAACTGTTGACTTTATGCCATGCCTCGACGTCTAGTATGACACCAAGTTCTTCATGACACAAAATGTTAAACATTTACGGTACTGTGAAAGGGGTCAATGGAAATAATCCATGAAAAGAAGAGGTATCCTCTGGATGAAAGCATCCTGGAATAGGTTAGAACATTTCTATATTACATATGTTCAATTCTGTAAAATTTCTGAAGTTCAGTTAAGCTTTACTGTCAATATGCTATGACTTACATATGTTGTATACATTAACCACAAAGTTATTGGGTCTCCACAGTTAATGTGCATCTGTTTTTATTGTAAATATTTCCTATTTATTTGATTTGGTCATTGGCGAGTGTATTTAATACTTCAAACTTCAGTAAATTCTCTCTTTTCTCTGGCTGGGGTAATGTTATTTATTTCTTTGTACTAAACATTCCAACTTACTTTATTCAAATACTTGGATAAGTCGAAGTTTCCTACAGTGGCGCTGATTTTGAGATAACGAGGTTCAAATATATATATATATATATATATTTAAATTCTATGTACATGTTTATGTATCAATCATTTCAAAAACACAGCTAATGTTTAGAAATGTTTTAAATACATCTATAGCTTGAAACCTAATCACCATTGATTTTCTTCATTTTCAAGTTATTACTTTAAAACTTGACACAACTGAATAAGTTGTGATGTTTATGTATGATATAATGTAGATTACAGATCTGACAACCCTATTACAGGGCTGACCATACTAACCTGTATCCAACTCTATTATGTTTGGTGGAGTGGTAAGTATTACCATTGGTTACCAATGATAATTTATATGAATGTACAGATGGTGCTTTCCTTGGTTAAAAATACATTTGTATCTATGTTTGATTGTGTACATCTATATTAATACTGATGTGTGGAGAATGTACTGAAATGATGGTATGTATTGATGTGAAAAACACTTCAAATTTTGTTCTTTTAAATTCAGAGAATTTTTTTTCAACTTTCCACAAAGAAATTATAATTGAATGTCTTATACTTAAGCTTAATTCTTGGCAATAATTGCTGTAATATTCTTTTTCTTGTGGATATGCAAAATATACACGACTTCAATGCCAGGCAGTTCTGTTCAATTATGTACCCGGTGAGTCAGTGCTTTACAATTACAATTTTCTTTAACCTTATCTACACTAAAGAGCTGTTGTTGAAAATGTTCTATATATTGACGGATGGTTTAAAACTGAGGAGTCATTTCAGTGTGAAATGTTACATCATGAGATCTTGTCCAAGTAGCCACTGTATACTTTATTGATTTGACATGCATACTTCTTCATGAACTTCCAAATATTTACTTTATGAATTTATATATTGTCTGGAAGAAATATCTGTTTGCAGTTTCTTTATAGGATTTATCCAAGTATGGTATGTGACATATGATACAAAATGTTAGCTATGTTGTAATTGATTTCATAGAACTAGGGATTAAAACCTCTGAAAAGTCTAAATTGGTTCTGACCTAAATTTTTCACATTATTTTAAAGTTTCCTTATCCATTATGTAAGCATATGACAATATTAATTTATATATGCTGAGTGATGCACATACATGACATCAATCCAATGCTTTACATTTATTCAAAACAGTTTAGATTTTAACACAATTTATTAACCAAACACTACTAATGCCATGAAATGTCTTGCTGTCTAGTCCATCTCTTGAAGGACAGACAGGCACTTTGTCATACCTAATCAATCCTGACATTAAGGTGACATCACAGTTAAACAATTAAACAAATTTTTTTTTAATAAGTTATCACCTGAGACACCTATTGTGATCCCTTTTTGTCTGGTGTCGTGCATTGTAAACCTTTAATATTTTTGACTTTTTATGGAAAACTCTTGAGCAGATTTCAATGGGGTTTTTTTTTTACGAAAAACCTTACATGACTAAAGGCATATCAAAATTGTAAATTATTTGGTCACCAACCCCAGGGCCAAAAAGGGAAAATTGATTTAAACTTCAGAAATCTTCTTCTCAAATCCCAGGTATTTTAGAATCAGAATGGATGGAAAAGTCTTCAAATGCTTTACCAAAATAGTAAATTTCAGGACCCCAGGGTCTTGCATTTGGCCCAGTGGAGGGGGTAAACTCCATTGTAGTGTATATAGGAAAATTACATGTCTGAACATTATTTATTTTCTATTGGAAATAATTCAAACCTGGTTAGAATTATTAGTTTAAGCTGACAGTTTGAAAAGATGCACATATCAATTTTGACCGACCCCCAGGGGGCTGATGGGTGGGGCCAAAAGGGGTCAAATTGACTGAAATTCAAAGATGTTCTACTATTTCTGGATGCAAGATTTTTTTATAGTGAAATTCAAATATTGGGTGTAATTTCTTTTAATTTAAACTTGGTTAGAAGCCTTAGCATGGGACAGTAGTTAATGTATACAGGAGTTACATTTGCATTATATGTACAATATAGTTAAAATTATATCACTGTTTTGAACAAAATCATTTCTATGTCATGTTACAAGAAGCCTTGTGACTCAGGTGACCATTAAGGCCCTAGGTCCTCTTGTTTATTATTGCATATATATATCAAATATATTTGACATTGGAAATTGACTGTGAATATTTGGATAGCATAGAAACAGAAAACGAAGTATAATAACCATGTACAAACAATAACAAAATGAATGTTTTACTGTGATGTCCCTTTAAATTCTACTGGTTTATCATGTATTGATTAAATATTGAATTGTTAATATTGATTTGTTATTGTTTGATGTACAATTCAAAAATTAAAATGTTCTTGAAGTAAGTCTTTTGGAATATAATCTCAAAAGATAAATGTGAAACACTCTGTATACCTAACACGTTATCAGTATGTTAGTTTATGGACCAAGAAAATATCAAGGTAACTTGTGTAAAAAATGTTGATGATTATAATACAATATATTATATATTTTAAAATTGTGAATACATTTCTGTGTTTGTAAAATTTGTAGATAATGTGCAGGTGAGTATAATCTCAAAGATTATTGTTAACACATACTTTATATCACTTTTGGTTATATAATGCCTTCCATGTCAATTTTAATAGGGTTATCTCCCCCTTTTTAAAAAAGTTTTTCACCAATAATGAATTGTTCAAGTCTATAACCACAGATTATGTCTAGCCTAAAATCTGTTGACATGAAGACAAAATAACCATGTAGCTTGTGTCCATTAACTTATCTCTGACAAACCCAACTGCTGATTAAAGCCAATACCTTGCTAAAGGCCTAAATGACCTCTATATGAAAAATTTTGTGTTTAAAATTCCAGTTTTCACTGCATCCACACTAAAAAGAATTGATCTATGGATTTGTAACAACTGATAGCAGACTGTATTTACCACACTAATAAGATATTTCACAGAAGCTAGTATGCTGTTACATGGCATAGGTCTATCAGAATGATTTAATTATGCATTGATAGATTTTTTTTTTTTGAGTTCTTGCTGGTATGAAAGAGATACCTATTTGCAAACTGAATGAAAGTGTGTAGTGCATTCAGTGTTTTTTATTTGAGAAATGAAGAGAAAAATCGACAATTGAGAAAGCTGCATTTTGCATACAAACAATGAAAATTAATTATTATCACAGTGAGTAAAATTCCTGAGAATTTTTAATATTCAATGACTATTTGAATTTCCAAAGTAGACTTACTTTGAAAGTGAATATAATTCATTGTTTTGATTGAATTTGAGTCAACTAGAACTTTCTCGGGGGAGATAACTCTTAACAAAAAGAGGTATGATGACATATATCCTTAATAAAAATCTGTGAATTTCATGCTTGTTTGAAATCATTATATGTATGTGCAGAATAGAAGATGCTACAAATAAAGGCGGTGTTTGAAAGTTGAATCTTAATTATTAAACTTATTTTACGCAAGTGTATTGGTGTTGTATGATGTTATTAAGTCACCTGAGACAAAATCTAAGGTGACCTATTGCGATCACCTTTTGTCAGAATTATCTGTCATGCATCATAAACAATTTACATTTTCAGCCTCTTCTCAATAGCTCAAAGGCCCAGAGTCATGGTATTGTGCCAGTAACATGCTGGGGTAAAAGGCTACCAAGTTTGTTCAAATGACTTTCTTTCAAGGTCAGAGTGCTCAAAGGAGTTAAAATATTTCAAGGAATTCTTCTGAATAACCAAAAAGCACAGGGTGCTAAAAATGGGTCTGTAGCCAGATACAAAGTGTGTTAATATTATTGACAATAACAAACTTTCTAGGTCACAGGTGTCAAATATGTTCAAAAGTTAAAACAATCTCTTCTAAATGGCCCAGGGTGCTGATAATGGGTCTGTAGCATGATGGAATGAAGGGCTACTAAGTTTGTTCATATGAACTTCTCAATAACAAAAAGGTCCAGGATGCTGATATTGGGCCTTTAGCATGAACAAATGAAGAGCTACCATGTTTGTAAATATTACTGACCTTGGCCTACTTTTAAGGCCAAAGGTATGAAATATGTGAAAATCTTTTAAATGACATCTTCTCAATCACCAAAAGGTCCATGGTACTGATTCGGCCTTTAGTATGATGGGATGAAGGGTTACCAAGTTTGTTCACCTTGACAAACTGTAAAGGTCACAGGGGTCAAATGTGTTGAAATGTGTTAGCAACTTCTCAACAACCAAAAGGTCCAGGGTGCTGACATTGGACTTGTAGTATGACGGGATGAATGACTACCAAGAATGCTCATATGACCTAAAAATATGATTTCAAGTTTGCAAGAAATGTCTTTATGAACCAACCAATGTCTTCTATGTAGACTGGACTTTAGTTGAGCAGTTTACTTTTGGCCTATTTGGCCTCTTTCATATAGGTCTTATAGTTGGTTGACCCTTAAGGCCTCTGACTGAAGTCAAAGCACCATACATTACCCCTGCAAATTCCACTGTTGCAGTGTTTTCTAGCTGTACAGACTGATAGGTGTTTGATGACTTGCAATAATGACCCAGAATATAAGCATTCAAATAATATCATCTTTATTAAATAAAGATCTTTACTGTAAACAAGACAATAAATCATACAATGGATAACCACAACAAAATTGAGCAAAAATTTGTATCACACAAATAAAAATACAGGTGAATTTTACGGATATATAAATAAGGGAAATAAGTTACATGTACAAGTATATTATTATATTCATGTGTAAGCATTCATATAGGCAAAACTCTTTCACAAGTAGCACCCTAGATGAAATCACTTGAGTTTCTTTTCTCCTAGAAAAACATAATGGAATGGACTTCCTACAATGCAAGCTATAGCAATACTGGGAAATATGCCATCAGAAAGACTGACCCCCAACTTATATTAAACTGTCTAGCTCCTTTACCCTGCCAATCCTTAACATTTCTTACAAAGTGCCAAAAATTTTGCTTTTCAAATTTAAAGGAATGGTTTTGTGTTAAGGTAAATGTACTAAATTAATGGTTATTAAATTTGATCACTAATACTTTTTGACAAATTAGTGTAATGTTGAATTCATGCATCAGTAATAACTGCTATATATATACAACATACAGAAGTGACAATTACGGCAATGGAGCACCATACTTTCTGTGCGAAAAGTGCTAAAGTAAGATTACTTCTAAAATATATACATTTACACAACTTTTTTACATCTAGTTTATGTATATAATTCAATGAAAAATACATTTCTTCTTTAGTTAGGAGGGTCTGTATTTCTTCAATAACATTCAAGCAGTATTTCTAAGTCATATAATTTGATGTGCCAATAGGGATATTAGTAATTAGTATTTTTTGAAGAGGTGCAATGTGAAAAAATGATTATGTGAAGCCGAGCGAGAGGTAAATATCACAGTTTGGGTGAAGATTTAGAAAGAGTAGCAACAACTGATTATGTCATGGTTTGTATCTTTTTATTACAGAATCTTATTTATTCTGATAACAGGCTTTATTGTATTCATCTCTGTCGAAACAATAAAATAACAAAGTCTAAATCTCAAGGTAATCATCTCAAAGTGCTAAATATCACAGCTCAAGCATGTACATGTACCCCTCAATGCTATTGTCCAGAGATGAATGCTTGCTGGGTTCATTGCTCTGTGAACAGGTCATTTGAAGCAGGGCCTCCTTTTAGTAGCTGCTGGCTTCCTCAACTAACAACACAAGGAATGCCAACGGCATGCCATCAAGAACAAATGGGGTGCAGTGTTCTGACCTTGGACACAAACCTGACATTGTAGACTGGTCTGTTCCTCAGATTCCTTAGAAACTCCAACCCCCATAGTTAGGAAACTGTCAAACTACACACCTCCAATCTTCACCTGAGGTTATGCAGACCATTGCTTTACATATTGAGCTATTGCAATCCCCTATGACAAGCTCACATACCCAATACCATCTGGAATCTGACATGCTTTAGGGAGGATGAGGTATGACAAAAAAGACTGATATAAACTCTCAGATCATTCATACATAAGTTTGGTAAATTCAGATAACATTTAAAAAGAGTTTATCCCTAAAACAAATCTCAAAAATGTTCCTCTATTCAATGTCATCATACTCACAAGTTTTTCAACAGGTCAAATTCAACAAAGTGGATTAACACACGTTTAACCGGTATATGATTTAACCATAAATTTTCTTAAAAAAAATAGTATCAAGAAACATCAAAGCGTTATCTTAATAAATATCACATGAACTTCACTAGAATAGAGCAGTATGTTAACTGTCGGCTCCATTGATGTCAGAACTAGTGATGTCTGTGTCAGTCTCACAGATCTGACCATGAGTTTTCTCCCCTTCCACGTCAGATGACGACCCAATCAAGTCGGACCCTCCAGAAGGTAACATGGGATCTGCATTAAGAAAAACAGAAAATGTTCATCACAATTAAGTCTACAAAACATGCATCACAGCATAGAACGCTTAAACACAATCACGCCTTCCAGAAGATGATGTTTTCTTTTATTTGATAAATATAACCATGACCATAACATATGACATCTGTTCTATACTTATCCCCGGATAGTATACTAGTTTAAAACTTACAAACTATAAATTATAAAGTCAAGATGAATATTCTTCAAACTAAAAAAACATTTTACTGCTTAACAGCAACAAAACCAACAAAAATTCCGTTGCATCAAATCTGTTGTTCGTTATCCTAATTTTTATCCTTTCTACAAAGCACGAAATACCATATTAAATCTCCATGTGGTCAATATATGACCAAATCCACTTAAAGGGAGCTTATTAAAGACCACTCACAGGACAGTTTTTGGACATTTTCATTTCATAATTACAACAATATCATCTTTAATACTACATCCTTAATGTCTTTTTTTTCCATAAAATGTAATGCCAATTCAAATATTGTTTTTGAAAGATGAAATACAGGATTAAATGAACCTAATTGTTTAATCTGTGGACATACCTGACAGAGAAGACATGAGTTCACTACTGGTGGTCTGGACAAAAGACGGGGAGGTCGTACTGACCATTACCAGGTCAACTGTGTCTGCAGTCGAGCTTCCTATGTTGGTCTCCTGTGTATTGAAAATAAAAATTGGTCTGAAGACATCAATACCATTATTTTAACTACTTTTGATTTAAGATAACTCCATCTAAAATAATCAGATTAATGTGAAATGTATATATGAAGAAGGAATCAAGCATTTTATATATTACCTCAGCTTCAAATATTTTTGAGATAATTTGACCTCGAGTGGTCAATTGGTCATTGCTGTCTAGCCCAGTCCCTGGGATATCACCCTCATCTCCTGGCAGCTGGTCATCCTGACTTAACGTCTGCAGATCTTCAGAAATAGAATTTAAGAAATTATTAGAAACACCAGGTCACTATATGCAAAAGTTTTGAATCCATAAAATTAATAAAATAAATTGTTCTGGAGACATTTGTTCAGCAATATTTCTTAAATGAAATTATCAATTCTATTTCAATATATGCTTTCCATTAAAGCACACCAGCTATACGCATAATGTGAAAGTCATCCATGAAACTTATGTTGGAGACTAACCTGGATCTGACTCTGTGATTGTGTCAGTCAGCTGTATGGAGCTGGTCATCTCACTACCGTCCAGTGTGGCCACCACCTCTGACACTCCATCCTGTGAAGAGCCAGTACTCAGTATAACTGGTGTTGGGTTCATCTGCACCGTTACATTCTCATTGCCTCTTATCGTGGTTGTCTGGTAACAATCAACACAAAACATTTTCATGCTAAATTATATAGGCCTGATGTAAGTCAAATGAAACATTTTTTGGTTTAATAACCTGCAATATTTTATTTTTTCCACTCCAAGATATAATTTGATTTTGCTGTTGATCTGTAAACTAACAACTTTATAATTATCACCTTAATTCCATATGTTTTGATTTGGTTCTGAAATTTACATAGAACTTTCAATGCCTTCTACTTTGAGTTGTATCTCTTTATAGCAATGATATGATCTGCACTTTTCCTAATACCACTAAGGAAGGTAACTGCACTATAAGTACACTTTAGTGCATTAATTACCCACTTGTAAGGTGTTTACAATAATATGATCCATTCCCTTGTCTACATCACAAGGAAGATAATTGCAATATATTGTGACATTTAGTCACAGGGTTTTACAGCATTACTCACTGGTAGAGTGTGAACAATGATGTGATCTGTCCCCATGGCAGCACCACTAAGGGAGATAACTGGACTATTTTGAGGCTGTGTGATAAGGAAGGTTCCAGAACTTGTCTGATGTAGTACCTCAAATGTCTGAAAAGCAGTGTCTCCTTCAGCAGATCCTGTGTCTAGGGAACCTGCTATGGAGAGATGTGTAAACATTCATAAAAACTGACCAATATAAACCTCATTCATTAAGAAAACTACAGTGTTCTGACAATATGAATTCATTCCAAACAAAGTGTCTGGATTTTTTATTAGTTTGATTATTGAACCTCATAATCAAAAAGAAGTGATTTAGTCCAAAAATACTGGTTGCAAACTGGACACTGACTCAAAAGTAGGTGGACTACTATTTCTGAGTTTTCTATTGGAATATGTTCTATGGGCACCATAAGAAATAATCCTATTATAACACCGAATCTTATTTTTACTCTACACATACTTACCAGTCTGTATGGGAAGAGAATGCATGTTAGAGTTAAGAGACATGGGGATTTGTAGTGTTGTCATATCTGTGGCTGATACCGGTCGGGGCAAACCAATGTGTGAAAGTCGCATACCAGACGATGTTACAGGATTCTTCATCCGTACATTTTGTAAATGTACATTTTTAAGAAATATAATCAGATCTGAAAATTAAGTAAAATTCCATTACTTTACATATGATGATATACTCGAATCATTAGGGAAACCAACAACATATGAAAAATTATTTTTGAACTTTGAACAAGTATCTTTATTTACATCTCATCCATTAAACAGATTTCTGTGCATAAATAGAATCATACAAATTAAAATAAGTCCATACCTGAGAATGACAGTAACTGATAATCTGGAACATGCCTCTTGAGAGACCACCACTTTCCTCTTAGCCACTGTGGAGATCGTACACTACCAAAGAAATAGCATATATTCATCTTGTGATTTGTTTTCATGACACACGACACACAATAGGCTATGTACATTGTATCTTGTCATTTGTCTCCATCCAAACTCTGCCTACTGATATGCCATTGCAACCTTTCAAATGTGTGTTTTCTTGCTTACATGGTTTCTACATTGTGATATCAACATGATAAAGAACATAATGAAACCTGCAATTTCTGAACAGTCAATAAACATGTTAGTGTTTCAAAAATCATGTTAAAATTAACACATTTTCAAATATTCTGAACTGGCTGTAGTCTTTACTTATTCGTAGTTTCATGCCTTGTTTGCATGTCTTTAAATACTTTGCCATGATTAGGAGCAATGTCAACTCTGAGAGCTCATACTCTTATTTATTTTCACAAGTATATTTTTGAAACTATATTTCTGAATTCTGTTTAGACTGACAGAAGGTTTACTGTATCTTTGACCTGTGTAAGGTAGCAGAAACAACCTTGCACTGTACCTGTATCTGATATTAAGGGAGTATATATTTTACAGATTACAAAATATATTGAACGTAAACTGTTCCAGTAATTAATATAATCATTCGTGTGCTTTTAATTCTCTGAGATAAGCCACAAGTGAAACAATTATCAAAGCATCATTCCAATGATATTGAACTATATCCAAATTTAACATTTAATAAAGCACATCTTTGACAGATTTTCTTGATATGAAACTGTATTAGAGGCTGACATTACTCTTACAAGAAAACAATGAGAAGACAATTATTACTTTCATTTTTCCATGATTTGTAGGAATTCTCAAACTTAAACGTACAACAATGCCACTGTAATTACCTTGGCCAGTTCTTGGCTAGCTCTGTCCAGTCAATCTCTGTGTCATCTGACACACCCAAGTTGGCAATTCTAGAACCAGAAATTTTATGTTCAATTGAAAATTGCTTTATTTATAACATATTAATTTGATTTATAATAAGTTATAAAACAAAGTACTGTAGTATGTATAAAGAGTTTACTGGATGTAAAGTTTGATGAAGATTTGACTTGTTGAATAAAAAAAAAAACCAAAGTAAGATTTAGCCTGACTGATCTTCATGGCCAACCTTTAATACACACTCAGCAAGCTTTATCTATATCCAATAGAACCGACCACAGAGATTAAAGTTATTATCTAACAATCACACAAAAATAACATGTAACAATTTTGTATTTGTAGACAGACTCAAATATTCTATCTACTGCATAATCCACGAGATACATACTTAAGGACAAGATTGATGTCATCCTCCCTTGTCCAGTCTGTCCCACCCTTCTGTTTCCAGTTGAGGAAGTTTAACCACTTTGTTCGACACTGTTTCTCTGAGCGTGTGAGAACTCTCTCTGCTACAGATGCCCATGAAAGTCCACTGGTGACATTCTCACCTACAACAAATAAGCTCCATTGTAAATTGTGTCCCTTGGAATTAGCAATGCCTCTAATCCTACCTCTTTTCAAACAATTACACAATAACTGAAGACGGAAACTCTCAAATAACTCACTTATTCCACACGAAGATAATCCAAAACATGACTATTTATATTATGATTCGAAATTAAAAGTATTCTAATCAAAATAAGTTTACATCTCACCGACTTTTAATTTTAAATAATTAATCAATAGCATGACAGGTAATGCAGGGTTTGTTTAGTTCTGTCTGGTGTACATGCTAACACTACCTAGGTAAGGTGACAGACTAGAACTCCTGAACCAGAAAGGGTCAATATTATCAAGGACATTGATAAGGGAGAGTTCTACCAGGATAATACATTCTCCAAGACATTATTCTTCTCTGTATAGTCTATATATATAAGACTATATAAAATAGACATCCTTACCTAACCTTCTCAATGTTGTGATTTTTGTTAATATATCAAGATATTTCTCAAGGTTTTGTGGGAAGGCTAAGTAAGTAGTAAACATATTGAGAATGCATTAACAATGTAAAATCAACATTATTATATATTTACAGTACCTGGTTTGACACCTGCAAGTTCATAAACAGCTGATGAAAGGCGATGTTCTTCTTCTGGCAACCATTTACCTGTAATTCATACAACATAAGGTAAATCTATGCACAAACATGATTGTTACAGATACAGGCAAGTTTACACATTAAAGAAACAATACAGGTGAAAAACAATATTTATTTATTTATTTTATTTACTTATTTATTTTGTCTACACATTTTACTTCAACAAAACCATTTTACCTGAATTACAGGTATCCCTCATTAGACGACATTTATCTTTGACAGATGAAGCACTCCTTCCCAACACAGACCCTATGGAAGCCCAGTCATTGCCATATTTACCACGTAATCTACAAAAGATACATTTAACTAACAATTGATGCTTGCAAAATGAGTCCTCGAATTAAAAAAAAAGCCTTATATTGTTACATCTGATCATGATCATCCATACAGAAACATCAAAATTTTCACACGTCATTACCATGTAATAACAAATTGTCAAGGAATCTCCTAGACGCTGTGTATGATGTATATTGAAATAAAGGAAGTGATATACCAATATTAAACGGTATACAACCTTGAGTGATTGGTCACACTGATTATATATATATATTATATGAAGGTTCAAGACATATCATCATGATAAGATCTTCATATGATCATTATTGTAGATGAGTGTGATTAGAGAGGTAATGTCCAGTCAAATGTGACTTTCAGTGAAGTGCATAGTTATAGGCCACTGAAGGTTTAAATATTTCCTTACATTCATGGAGATGGGTTGAGATTTCACTGGCTTATAACTGATCAATTATTTGCTTGTTTCGCTGTCGTTCTTTCTATTCTTTTAAATATATTACACAATGATGACCTATAACATTTCATCAGTTCATAGCTTGTTTGAGCACTGCACATTATTAGGTCTCAAATACAAAGGGTATATTTTAAACTGATATGTCCTCCTGAAACCAGAAGTTGTAGAAGTTACTCACTCCCTAAGTTTTGCCATTTCCTCAGGAGAATATTTGCCCATGTGATTTTTCTGGTCATACATTCTGGTAACACGTCTATAAACAGAAAACAATGGACGCTGCAATCCTTTAGCAACTGTCCTATAAAAGTCTTTTCTTTCATCTTTGGACATTCCAAATATGATTTCAGTAGGTTCATTTATTCCACGTTCCTGTAACATAAGAATCATTTAACATGTATGATAGTTGATATCAACAAAAAACATGTTTTAATGTCTGTTGAATTATCAGGATCAATACAGAAATAGTAAAATCAAAAACAGGAGTACACATTCATTGGATCATACTCTGTCGTGGAGAAGTTTTTGTCAGGGTATTTGGCATAATTACAGTTTAGATAGTTCTTTTCTTTTATTGATTTTGCTTCTGATTTGTGACTCTACATGATCACGATTTTGCCTATGATTTGTGACTCTACATGATCATGATTTTGCCTCTGATTTTTGACTCTACATGATCATGACTTTGCCTCTGATTTGTGACTCTACATGATCATGATTTTGCCTCTGATTTGTGACTCTACATGATCATGACTTTGCCTACGATTTGTGACTCTACATGATCATGACTTTACCTACGATTTGTGACTCTACATGATCATGACTTTGCCTCTGATTTGTGACTCTACATGATCATGACTTTGCCTATGATTTGTGACTCTACATGATCATGACTTTGCCTCTGATTTGTGACTCTACATGATCATGACTTTGCCTATGATTTGTGACTCTACATGATCATGATTTTGCCTATGATTTGTGACTCTACATGATCATGATTTTGCCTCTGATTTGTGACTCTACATGATCATGATTTTGCCTCTGATTTGTGACTCTACATGATCATGATTTTGCCTATGATTTGTGACTCTACATGATCATGACTTTGCCTACGATTTGTGACTCTACATGATCATGACTTTACCTACGATTTGTGACTCTACATGATCATGACTTTGCCTATGATTTGTGACTCTACATGATCATGATTTTGCCTATGATTTGTGACTCTACATGATCATGACTTTGCCTATGATTTGTGACTCTACATGATCATGACTTTGCCTATGATTTGTGACTCTACATGATCATGACTTTGCCTATGATTTGTGACGCTACATGATCATGATTTTGCCTCTGATTTGTGACTCTACATGATCATGATTTTGCCTCTGATTTGTGACTCTACATGATCATGACTTTGCCTCTGATTTGTGACTCTACATGATCATGACTTTGCCTATGATTTGTGACTCTACATGATCATGACTTTGCCTCTGATTTGTGATTCTACATGATCATGACTTTGCCTATGATTTGTGACTCTACATGATCATGATATTCTACAATTGATGACGGTTGACTATCACATTATAAAACAATTGAAATTTACAGCAGACCTGAAAAGTCGTGAAGTGAACAATTTCACTCTACCATGCGTCACCAGTTTGATGAATGGTAAATATTTTGGAAACACTCTATTCAGGTTGTGATAAACTAATAATCAACCATAGATCATTCCAGAACTGATGTCAGATGATAAGTGATTAATTTTGTAGCAATTCCTAGCATTTTCAACAGCATTAGAGACCCCCTTCTTGTAACATTGACCAAGCAGTGAATTAGGCTCTAATTGTAACAGTGACATAGGAGTGCAGTAAGTTTTTCTTTTAACATTGAGATAAGAGTGCATTTGGTTCTTTTTGTAACGTTAATCTAGGAGTGCATATAGGTAACCAAGAAAGATCACAGGCATGATGAATTACCACACACACTCAGACACTTTGTCATGTATAAAAATACATAGAAACATAGACACTAAATTCAATAAAATTATAATCAAGAGCAATATTTCATGTTGGAAAATCACAAAGAAGGACTCAATACTGCTGAAATATATTGGTATACGCTATCTATTTGAGAAATCAATATTAAGATATATACCCGACAATATCCATCAATGTTACTCTGTAAAACATCTATCTCTTCTTTAGTCCATTGGCCTTGCTTCCAGCTGGCTCCTGTAACATATCATTCAACAGAAGTGTTTATTCTTAAAAGTTATAGTAACATTACTATCACATTAATGGTGATACATGTATCTTTACTTTGTATGATGAATATTTTTTATGATTTACACAGTTGATGCCTATACTATGAATGATGAAATTTTCGAAGAAGTTTCGTATTGGCAGCATCTTTACTTTGTACAATGTACTTTTTATAGATCTAAATTGGTAACAGTTTTACTTTGAACAATGAACTTCTTAAAGATTTATCCGTCGATTGCCTTACTTTGTATGACGAACTTTTTAATGATTTATATGGGTAAAACATTTACTTTTAATGATGAACTTTTTAATGATTAATACCCATAACACCTTTACTTTGAATGATGACCTTTTTTAATGATTAATACCCGTAACAACTTTACTTTGAATGATGAACATTTTTAATGACTTATACGGGTGTCATGTTTACTTTGAATGATAGACCTCTTTTATGATTTAAACAGGTGATACCTTTACTCTGCATGGCAACCTTGTCAAACCGAGTGGTGAACCATGCCTGTGTTACATCAGAGTTGCCCGGTGACTTCTTGCCCGTGTTACTTGGTCCCAACAGTTGCTCAGATACTGATGGGGTGGTCGTTACCAAAGGAACAGTTACAGCTGTAGCCATTGCTGTTGCCACAGGAAGCTGTTGTTCTTCCAGCTGTCAAGTCAAAGGAACATATATCAAACTTGTGCAGCATATATAATAATATTACACAGAATATATACATTTAAATACAATCAGTGTTCAAAATTTAGGAAGTGTCCTTACCCATTCTATCATCTAACAATTTCATACTGAATTGTTCCAATTGTGATGCATATTTAGTAACGAACTAAAAAATAAAGGACTGGAAAGATACTTGCAGAAGACCAAAAAAAGCCAAACTCAGCTCCCTTTCTCATCAGTTTACATAATTCAACTCTGATTTGTATTTTATGAGAATAAGAACCAACAATTTGGTTTAATTTTCAGTGAGGCTACCTCAACTGCAGCTGAGGCTTGAATCTTCTGCTGGTCGTCCAGTGTAATGTCTGCATTCTCTGCAGTCGTGCTGTCTGCAACAGTCAGGACATATGATTGTCCATCCTCACCCTGGAACCTAAATCGTTTGTTGGCAGGCTCAGTGACATCTGTCTCCACAGTAGCTGTAGCTGAGTTCATACCCAAAGAAGCTACAAGTAGAAAACAGAACATATACAAAAGTGTTGTGTATCAATCCAAATGAACTGAAAATAAATTAATTAGTAGAAAATGTTTAACACTGTATCACAAAGTGTCCAACAAACAGTGAACTTATCATGTCTAAGAATACATTTTCAGAACAAGGTATTAAATACAGTAAATTACAGTTTGAGTTATTATCTATGGTTTTCCTGAACGAATCAAAGGTCTACTCCAATTTAAAACATCTATATATTTTATCTAGTAATACACTGCTCCAAATATCACTTATTTTTTATCTAGTGTACCTGTAGATTGTTTCCATTTCCTATAGAGAAAGAGTAGAAAAAATACATATGTAAAAGATTTTTATTAACCATAATTCTTAAAATATCCTACCAGGAAACCAAAAATAGCAAGTAGCAACTCTATGGGCACTGTTATATGGTGCTTGTCACAATGACATAACATAAAAATTGCAAAAAGCATACATGTATGTGGCATGTGCAGCTCACCAATAAAAATGAAAATCTCAGCGTAAACACCAGATAGTACTGGACAGACAAACTTTGTTTGGCACTCTTAGACTTTGAGTGAGACTCCTTGTTTTCAAAAACAATGTGCATCAATTAAAGGACATGCTGGTCCAAAAACCTACAAAACAGACTGTATACCTGCTGCTTCTCTAGATAATATGATGTAACCATCAGCAATGCCGGACTCAAACCGCAGAACATTTTCTGAGGTGGGTAAGGTTTCTTCCCCAGGTACTTCTTTCTTGATAATGGCACACACACTGTCACTGCCTATACCACTTTCCTCAGGCTCTTTGACTGGGGGCACTATAGACTCTCCTATTTCTCCTTCACACAGATCCCCAACAGTACTGCCGATGTTCACTGAGGCCAGGTCTGTCATACTTGTGGTGTCCACCGATGAAAGGTCTGAGGAGTTCTCCTCTGACAGAACCTCCATGCTGTGCAAGTATTACTGCTCTATTTCTGAAAAATAAAACAAATTCTTTAAGACAAAAAATCCACCACACCACCAGGATATCACTGACCAGACAATATATCTATGTGAACATTTTATCTGCTGGTGCTTTGATAGATTTCACAAGAGGCCCTTAGGCCTAAATCCTCATCCGAATATATGACCTGTGAATTATAAATTAACAAAAATAGTGGGGAAAATAATGAAATGATTAAAACAGTTTGGAATAGTGAAAAAATATTAATTAACTTTCACCGAGAAATGTGCGAGATAACGGCGGTTTAATTATCACATACACTCTAATTAAGTCTCTCAGGATAAAACTAGCAGACTTTTCTTTTCTTGCTTGGGATGGTGATTTATTGTACGACTCAAATTTTCTGTGCTCATACAACATGATTTCAGAGCTATGCATTCAGTTGTAAGACTCACTCTATTATTAAGTCATCAATGAGGCAGGCCCGATATTTGAATTTGGAACAGGTGACAAGATTTTCATACAAGAGAACACTGCAGTTATCTGACTTTTAAAATAAACAGTTCTAACAAATATCAATATAAATTGCCTTAGCTACTCAGAGTGATAATTCCAACAGGCATATGGGCTGATTTGCTTTGCAGTAAAATGTCTGGGGATTTCTTTTAATGGCTGATCAGTTTTATTTGTAAACCTCCAGTTGTAGTTAGTAACAGCCAATTTTTCAGATGAAATTTACACAACTTTCTGCCAATTATATCACGTCATTTTTCCTGGTTGATTTCTATATTCTCATTTTCAAATAGGTTTAACTTAGAAGAATTAATGCTTTTCTTATTAAAAAATCATAGCCTGCGGTCATTGATTGCACACTACTTCTACTTATATCTAGGATGTATTTATCTCTTACCAATTTATTACAATAACAAACAGTGTGATCATTAGCTACAGATTACCTTTATATTACCACTGGCAGCCATAAAATAATTTTCAGACTGACCAGTGACAATTTTACTCAAACCAACTTAGAAACTTGCACTGCATCTATTTATGTTTATGATGTATCCGTTTTCTTTCTTTTTATTCCAATACCAGAAAGACATCAGAATGAAACTGCAAGAATTTACCTCTGAATTAAGCGTACTCTACTCTGTTTCATCGATAAACATTATGTTATTATGTCCCGATTGTTACACCTGTCGGGTCGGTGGAAATTTTTGTGCAACGGTAGAATAAAAATTAAAACTCCTCATTTATATTAGTGTCTGAGCATACGCCATTTTGTTTCAGAAGTTTTGTCGGAAACACGAATATCTAAATGGGAGTTGGTCAATTAATGAGTTTCTGACATGATTTAATTCTTTCACATCTTTTGACAGTTGTGTCCTCTTTACCACGTGGGTAAGCCGAGAATCTTACTTCGATGTTTTCGTCCGGGTGTTTCATCAAGAACCAGGATGAGCAAGGACCAGGATGGCGGATGAACAATTTTTTTTGTATCGATTTTTTTCTGTAATGAATTAAATTTGCGAAGTAAATAACAAAATCAGTAATCGATAAGAAACTACGGTTATAATTTGCATTGTATGACATGAATAATAGTAGGAAATACCAAAATGCCATACATTGCAGAAGGAACTATATCAGAACTTTATTTTCATGCGTAACACAATAGATTACCGATGTAAAGAGGCTAGTAACAAGGTCTCGCGAGATTACAGACATGGCTGCGCCTATGCAGATATTGCGGTCGTCCATGCGACTTTCGTCGTATCGATGCTTATGCAAAGGGAGATGGAATCGCAAGGTTGGCAACAATACTATATTATAATATGTACAATTTGGGTGCATACCATAGTTCAATTGCAAACCCTTTTTATCGAAATCGATATAATGATTTCTTCTCACGTAACCAGTGTTCTTACTTGGTTTACCTCGGACTTTACCATTAATAATATACATGGGATATCGGATCCGAATAATCAACTGTCAGACGAATCTTATCTAAGTAGGCCAGGGCATCGTGTCAGTTTGACGGTCGTGTCGCGAACTTATGAAATGAACTACACAGAATTACTTTGTGGAGTTGCAGATATATATATATATATGCCCATGGTTAAGGCATAAAAATAAAGAATGGTCGGGACTATCGTCACGTTTGTATTTTGTGATTTGTCATTTTCAACTGCAGTAAGAACAAAAATTAAAGTTACTGAAAATTTCAGGATTCTCTCGCCTCCCAGATTTTTTTTTTTTGTAATCCGCCAAATTTCTCATTTGAGGTAAATCGCTCGGAATCTACTGTTCTTTAGCAGTCACTGAAGTCTACATTGTCTATATTAGCTTTGCCACTTTACTAAATAATCCAAACTCACTATTTGGGACATTCGTCTTACTTGATGTTCACAAAAGAAGTGTGAACCACCATGATTTTGCGGTCCGCATATGGGAAATATTTCCAAAAAGGAACAAATCAATTTGGCTGTCATTGATACAGGTTTATTTGCATAAATAATAAACATCAGCAAATGACAGAGATAACAGAAGCAATGAAACAGGTGGTAGGGTATGAAAACCAAAGGGTAGTAATCTGGATTAAGAGTTTTTTTTTTTTTTTTGGAGAGGGGGGCGGGTGCAGGAGAGGAAATAGTCACATATAACTGAATTCATTTTGTAATATGTATTAAACATTGAATTCCATTTCATTTTGACATTCTTAATACTCCATGTGTTCTAGAGTTTATATCCAATTAACACAATAAGGAAAAAATCCATTTTCTTGATTTATAATTTCAAAGCAAAAAAAAAGCATCTATCAATATCAGATGTACCAATCATGTACACTAATTCAAACTGGATATAAAATTAGTTGTGCGATTGCAAAAGTTTTCAGGGTTAATTACAAAGCTTATGTTATATATACAGCTTAGAAATGACCGTTTTAGAATAATATAATTAATGGAAGCACAACTGATCTTTATAGTGTATAATGATATAGATATGGAAGCATTTCACAGGATGCATCCATTAATCAACTCTCCTCATTGTTACTTAAAATTGTTGTCTATGTTTTTTTTTTAATTAGTTAACTTTTCAATTTCAGGTCAAATGGGTGTATACAGTGTTTCTATACTCAATTTGATATTGATTAAATTATATACATAAGTTTGTTTGTTTGTTTGGTTTTTTTTTTTTTTTTTTTTGTTTACTCTCCCTTGCCATTCTACTGAGAAATACATTGGTTCATTGGAGCCAGGGAAATCTACTACATGTTAGATATACATTGTTCAGTCCCCCTGACTTCCCTGTCAGGATTCACACTAATGCACTCTCCCTTCTCCCTGCTAGGATTCACACAGGTTCAAAGAACATTAACCTTACCTCTGTGTGGAGATGAATGATATAATGTTAGTTTTGTAGTAACTGTTATATTCTAAGTACCAGTACTTGCCCTTTTCTGGAGATATTCATTATAGTCAGGTCACAAGCATTGAAGGAGCATGCTCATTTTATTATCAGGAAGACTTATTCAGCTCAAAATATTGTATATTATTTTCTGGGGAATTAATGTTGACTTTTTGTAATAAGCTCTTGATTTTAATCAAATTTTAATCAGTATTTTTGTTTGCATAAAAAATTGTGTTATCTTATGTTAGAAGATGATTGAGACAAGTTCTGAATGTTTTCTATATCCTGTCAACATTTTTGTGCAGTGGAATAATTGTATTAGAATTTACTGGATTACAGATCTGTTTTTCATTGGTTTTATTTACAGGCAGCTGCTGTAACTATACCATCTCGAAATCTCAACCTACAAGAATACCAAAGTAAGAAGTTAATGGATGATGGAGGCGTGTCTGTACAGAAATTTGTGATGGTCAGCAGTCCTGAGGAGGCTAAAGATGCCGCAGAAAAATTAAGTAGGCATCACTTTATACTTTGGTTGAAAAAATTAGAAATATGTTCAAAGGCTGTTGATATACATGAATAAATTAGGCAATGCTGAAAAAATGTGTTATGAACAGGTGACACAGATATTTCAGTCTTGGACTTTGACTTTTACGTAGGCACTTTCATCGCCAATGTTGAAAATGCACTACTTGTATATCTCAGGTAAGACCCCCCAATAGATGCATGGTGTTTATTTTCTAAGAATAATTTATCCATTATAAGCATTTTGTCAAAAGGCAATAAATCAAGCGCTCCATCTTTATTGCAGGTATATTGAGATGTTTAAAGAGGGTTTTAGGCTGAAGGTAACACAGTTACTGTTACAGTCTGTTGTCACAGCCTTTGGAACTAGTTGTTACTACCAATCCTAGCTTTTTGATTAGTGGAAATATTCCAATGATTTCCCAGTAATCCCTAAAGGCAGTCGTTAGCTTTGGCCATGCCGCCATCTTTCAAACCTGTGTCATGCATCATACTGTCACTATGAGACAATCAAGTATTATAAAATATTTCTAAAAACTTCCTAAAATTGACAGACTAGGTGTTCACAAAATTATTCAGATTGAGATTTGTATAAATCACAAACTAGCATTACTCTGGTTTGCAGAGAATTCTCCAAGGCAGGACAATATGGTGGAATGCACTGAATTATGGGATCATTAACATCTATTCTTACTGGTCTATCTAAAAGTCTGCAACAAGTGATAATCAGCTTAATTAAGAGTCACAAAGACTCTTCAGAAATTTTATTTTAACATAAACAATACTGTGAGCGTTGGCACTATACATGGTGTATCACACTTCAGGAAAGCATCTTCAATTATATATCTTAAAATACTAAATAAAGAAAGTGACATTAAAAGATCTATACTTGATATGATTATTACTACCGATGAAGGGAAGGTGTGAACGTTTCAAGTACTGTAGTACTGAACAAAGTATTGATAGTATTGTATTGAAGTACTTCACCAATCGAATTCCTTAAATTTATGCAACAAGCTCTCTGATTGGCAGAGCCAAGTCTAGATCGATTGTGGGTGGAGCCAGGTGAAAAAATACTGTGCAGACATCGGCATTTTACAAACACTCGACTGTCGCGAGAGGTTAATTGGAAGAGTCCAAGTCACAGGTGGCTTCAGATCAGACCTAATTGGGTTGTCCCATTTGTTTCGTTCTACACCCAATGATACTTTGCTTTTCCATCGATGGTACAACGAGAAAACGAAAGTTACTCAGTACTAAACTAATTTACGTACAAAATATATATCAACAGGTTAGATCACTGGGACCGGAGAATTCATAACATCTTAACAGTGAATGTAGTCACATAGTCATTCTGTACTAGTTTTATTTATTTATTTATTTTTTTGAAAGGGGGGAGGGTTGGCTCAAAATATTTCGGTTTAAGCCCAAGCTCTATTATATGTAACAAAGAATTACGAATTACCTGGGACCTCCTGATATATGCCGATAATTCATACTGCATTAAAAAATAAAGGAATTCTGTGGTCTCATATATTTTTTATTTTATTTTTTATCTTTCCATCGAAAATTATACATATCCGCAACATGTGAAAAAACTTTGAAGTTGGTTGGGCGGAATATCTAGAGCATTTACTACTGCAAGTTCCAGAAATTCTGACACAAGTCGGGTATATTTGCCCGAAGCCTCTGTCTCATGACATTGAATACATATTCAGTTACGTTGTATTCCGGGGAATAAGGCGGCTGAAAAACCAGGGACACGCCATATTCTTTCAGCATATTTCTTAAAATGCGCTCTCCTGTCTATGGTGATGGAATCCACAATTATCCATCACAACCACATCGCCTTGTACAAAAACAGGATTCCCCATATCGTTCGTATCGGACATAATTTCGTCCAAGAAAATTTTGCGTACTGTTGTCGTCGTCGGACATTTTTCCAGCGATTACTTAGTACTTGTTATGTAACTGATAGTGTACATTAACTCCGCCTACCGGAACAAATTGGGTGTCAGATCAACTATTCAGGTTGTCTAAACTCCGCCCCCGACCAATCACAGAGGTCGTTGTATACTTGACTCGATTATTTGAATACTTCAATACAATAGTATCAATACTTTGTTCAATACTATAGTAAGTGTGTCGTTCACACCTTCCCTTCATCGGTAGTAATACATTAATATACAAAGTTTCTGATTCATATACGAAAAATGGCCGAGTTATGAAGATGTTACTCTAACAAAAATAACAGCTTGTCACATTTTTTTTTTTGCTTTGCGTTTCCTTTTTTAAAATTCTGTTTTTGTTTTTTTTTTTTTTTTTTTTTGTAGTTGTTTTTAGTTTTCAATATTGAGTTAAGAACTATTCATATCTCTAGTATTTTTGAATTTCTCAATAAAATTAGTTGTAATTTGATATGTTTGTTTTATAATGATTTCTTTTAATTCATTTCAGAGGTGGATGAATATGTAATTAAAGCTCAGATTCTGGCAGGAGGAAGAGGCAAGGGAACATTCTCCAATGGCTTCAAGGGAGGAGTACATTTAACCAAAGAGTAAGTGTCAGAAATTAAGTAAAACCCACCATTATATATTTCTTATAATGCTTAAATTTTCAGTTATTTGTTCAACATTTCTACTTAAGCAGATATAAGATGTAAGAAAACAGAAATTACCTGTTTATTATACCATGTAGTGTAAGAAATAAGAAGAGAAGTTTAAATCTAAAACTGGCCTACAGAGAATTATTTTGTTTTCTGAATCATATGTATACAACATATTGACAATGGCCTTCTACAAATAGTTCATTTATCATAATCTAAGATTTTATTTGTAATTCAGGTATCCCATCATGCTTAATTAATATGCATGTGCTTCCTCCCTCATACCATCAGTAACAATTATTGATCAAGGTGACTTTGTCTTACATGTTTGCCCATACCTCTCCTAATATTTCACATTAGACAATTGGGCATCATTGTGATATTTCTGTTTTCTAGATGTTAAAAGTTTTTTCTTTGAATTTTAGTCCTTCCAAAGTGAAGGGAATTGTTGACAACATGCTTGGTCACAAACTGACAACGAAACAGACACATGCTGATGGGGTCAAGGTCAATCAGGTTAGTAATAGCATTGAGATTAACAGTTTAATGCTGATATGATATCTTGTTATTTATGAAATTAGCTACATTTGTAGTAGGTTTAACCAGACTGAAAATTTATCAAATATTATGAGTTTTCTACATCAGCAGTTCATGGAAAAGTATATACCTTCTACCATTCTACATCTGATTTGGAAATTAAACCATGACTGTTTTGATGAAAGCTGGCTTTTCCATTGAAAGGCCATAATAGTGGACCTAAACCCGTTAAATAAGTAGATAAATAGATAAAACTGTACAACCAGGCCACCTGGTTCAATTTTAAGCTCTGTGGAGATGGAGCCACTTTTCAGAACAAGAATCAGTAGGTAAAGTTTATATATCTAAAAAAAATTCTCTGGTTTTATGTCACCTAGGTGATGGGATCAGAATGTCAGGATGTTTCCAAGGATACATTTTAATGGAAAATTTTCAAGCTTCTATCACTTAGTTCATGGTCTTTGAATCTGTAGATATTTCCATGGAAACTTAACCAGATTTGTGGTTTCCTGCCTGATGATATCAGAATCTTGGGATATTTCTGAATCACTTAATCATTGTTACATCTGATAGAGATGATTCCAACTTCCGTAATGTAGCATCATAATATTACTTTACTTGGATGGAGTATAACAAACTTTGTGGTACCAAGACACTTTATTTCCAAAGATAGTTGAATCCACTCTCTGAATTGTGTTGTGTAGGTGATGGTCGCAGAAGCTCTGGACATCGCCAAGGAGACCTACTTTGCCATTGTGATGGACCGAGGTTTCAATGGTCCTGTCATGGTGGGTAGTAAACACGGAGGTGTAGACATTGAGGAGACGGCGGAGAGAGATCCAGATTCAATAATCAAGGTATAGAGTCAGTAACATTAATTGAAACACTAATCAAAGGGATCATTAAAAAGACACTAGTCTAAAGTTTAAAAATTCATAAAAGGACATGTGTTGTCCTTCTGATCACTAGTAAACATGATCAAATAATTAATGTTGTCACTTGATACTTAAATCCTCAAAATCTCCTTAGAGCTATTCCAGTAAAACATCTATTAGATCTCAGGACTCAAAAATACTTTTATATATGGTTCGGTTTCCTGCCTGTTACTTACAAGCAAATTATCAGTTGAATTCCATAGGTGGTATACCCCAACATAATCTGGAGTTTTAGAGTGGGATAAATGTTTTGGATTAGCCCTAATATTAACACAATGTTTTCAGAAAGAATCCATTGCTATTTAAGTCATTCACTGGCTAGGTATACGAAAGAGTGAACTAATTACATCAGTGAGACCTACACTACTATGAAGCAATCATTTGCTTTTGAAATAATTTCAAGTCTCTGCAATGAAATTAAGTTTGGACTGGGGAACTATGACCCATTAGCCCTAATCTTATGGGTGGGTACATTACAAAATATTTCAGATAGGCATGTGTTATTGTTAGACAAAGATAAGGTTTTAGATATAACAGACAACATATGATGAAATCTGTATCATCTGAGGAAGGAGACATTGTGACTAGTGTAACATGAAATCTGTATCATTATTAGGAGGCAGTAGACATTGTGACTGGTATAACATAATATCTGTATCATTGGGGGCAGTAGACATTGTGACTGGTATAACATGAAATCTGTATCATCTGAGGAAGGAGACATTGTGACTGGTATAACATGATATCTGTATCATTGGAGGCAGTAGACATTGTGACTGGTATAACATGATATCTGTATCATTGGAGGCAGTAGACATTGTGACTGGTATAACATGAAATCTGTATCATTGGAGGCAGTAGACATTGTGACTGGTATAACATGAAATCTGTATCATTGGAGGCAGTAGACATTGTGACTGGTATAACATGAAATCTATCATTATTAGGAGGCAGTAGACATTGTGACTGGTATAACATGATATCTGTATCATTGGAGACAGTAGACATTGTGACTAGTATAACATGAAATCTGTATCATTGGAGGCAGTAGACATTGTGACTGGTATAACATGATATCTGTATCATTGGAGGCAGTAGACATTGTGACTGGTATAACAAGAAATCTGTATCATTGGGGGCAGTAGACATTGTGACTGGTATAACATGATATCTGTATCATTGGAGGCAGTAGACATTGTGACTGGTATAACATGAAATCTGTATCACTGGAGGCAGTAGACATTGTGACTGGTATAACATGAAATCTGTATCATTGGAGGCAGTAGACATTGTGACTGGTATAACATGAAATCTGTATCATTGGAGGCAGTAGACATTGTGACTGGTATAACATGAAATCTGTTTCATTATTAGGAGGCAGTAGACATCGTGACTGGTATAACAGAGGAGCAGGCTCTCAGAATGGCAGAAAAGTTAGACTTCACTGGGGAACATCTTCAAGAGGTATGATGTCAAGATAGAAACACATTTAGTCAGTGTTATTATTGTGAATCTGTACATAGTTAAACAATGATAAAAACAATAAATAATATTTTACAAAATACAGCTTGCATGCAACATTGTCTGTATGAAAATGTAAATGTTTCCAGGATGAACACTTATCAATACCAAAACATGAGTCTAACTAAAGAGTCCTTTTAATTAAAGGACAGTAAGGTTAAAATCATTGTAGTTCTTTATGTTTTAGTGCATATGATATACTGGTTTCTCTTTGGTAAAGACAGATGTAGGGTTAAGTTTTGTTTTGTTTTGTGTTTTTTACTCTTAATTTCTTTGGATAGATTTGTTTATCAGAATATTCAAAGCAATGAAAACTTGTAGCTTTCACAATTCTTATCGGTTTATTGCAGGCAGCAACACAAATCACTCGTCTCTATAACCTGTTCGTGAAGGTAGACGCCACACAGTTGGAGATCAATCCTTTTGGAGAAACACCAGATGGTAGAGGTAAGTCTATTGATGATTGGATACACTTTAGAAACTACTTGTGTAGAAATGTCAACATTTTTTCTCTTTTGCTTATTACCTTATTTCCCAGTAAACATTTTCCTTTCATTCTTAATTTACAGTGGTCTGCTTTGATGCTAAGTTGAATTTTGATGACAATGCAGCATTCCGACAAAAGGAAATATTTGATATGGAAGACACGAGTGAAACAGATCCTCGTGAGATAGAAGCAAACAGACTCAAGCTAAACTACATTGGTTTGGATGGTAGCATTGGATGTTTAGGTATATATACATTGTTATAATAGTTTATTTGTTATCAACATTTTATCATGGTTAAGTTTGAATAATTTCCACTGGGAAGTTTAGCATTAATTCTGTCCCCACATAGACAACTTTCTTACTATTTTTTCTTTCATTAATCAGTCTTGTTTGGTAATTGAAAATCTGAAAGTAAGTAAATCAATTTCCACATACTGTGTGCTATTACCAGCTGATTAAGGGTTTCACTAGCAGAAAATGACTTTAGTCCACTTCCAAGCTGTTCTTGTAGGACAGGTGATATTCAGCCAGTTAATGGGTACAAGTGGAAGCTTTCAGAAAGTCATTTAAACTTTCCTTGAATAGTCGATCATACTTTTATATATTCTACAGTCATGATCTTTAACTTTGATCCAAGTCTGAGGAAATGGGATATTGAAGCAATTTCAATTTAATAATTATTTGGATTACCTCCCTTCATCTATCTTTCGTAGTGAATGGAGCTGGTCTTGCTATGGCAACCATGGACATCATCAAACTACATGGCGGAGAACCAGCCAACTTTCTGGATGTAGGAGGCGGAGTATCAGAACAGCAAGTTTATGATGCCTTCCAACTTCTTACAGCAGATTCTCATGTAAGTATTGCCAAAATTTCTATTAACACATGTGGACAGTCTATAATTGGTCTTCCTCGATACTCCAGAGGTTACAATAACTTTTGCTCTCTGTACCTCCGGATCATGTCATGGCAGAATTGCAGACATAAGCGAAGCAATTTGATTAGTTCCAAGAGAAAAAATTTGACCAATCACAAGCTGATATTCATCTTTTGAAGATTACAGAGGAGCAACACCCATCTTTAAAGCCATTACAATATACTGTTATGAGACATTGAGATTTGTGTCATGTTTATCATAGGAACAAACTGATATTTTTGTCTTGTCCACAAGGTGTTGCACATTGAAACTTCAGTTTTGCTATGACATATTTCAGGAGTGCAGAGAGCAAAAGTGATTTCAAACCCTGGAGTATTGAGGATAACAACTGATATTCCAGTGTTTCATTGTCAATTTTAATTTCAGTTTTTTTAATTCTTTTATGTTACGACATCACTTTGTAAGAAACTTTATCAAAAATTTACTTTGAAGAAGCAGAAACTTAATTTTCTGAAATCAGGTTAATCACAAAAACCAAGACTAATATGCAATCTACTTCAATGTTAGTCACTATTTTATGAATGAGAAAAGTTAATCATTAAAAGCCATCCAGATTATCAAATAACGATGTATTTAATGTGAGGATTTTAGTAACAGAAGGAAATATCTTACATTATTTCTAAATATATTTTAATGATTATGCTCAAGCATTGAAAAAGAAAGAATTAATTGCAAATTTCAAAACCTCTGTAATAAATTGTATATTTAAAACGTGTATGCTAATACATTCTTATAATATGAGTTTTTATTTTTTACCTTTTTTAGGTGAAGGGAATTCTTGTCAATGTATTTGGTGGCATTGTAAACTGTGCAACTGTTGCAACGGGTATCCTTAAGGCCTGTCAGCGTATCAACCTGAAGCTCCCCCTGGTGGTACGACTAGAAGGTAACAAAGATTAGTTAATAGGTCCCATTGCTGTTTGTATACACTGCTGTAACATGAAGCTAATAATCAAGTCACTTTTATTTTCTGCTGTAAAAGGAATGGGACCACTTTCTAAAGAAAACTCTTAACTGCGCTGGTAATCAGTCATTTAGTAGTCTTCAAATGGATTTGTGGTGGGAAGGGTAATAAACACTATGTCCATGTATAATTTGATAGAATCATTCTTGGATATGAGATGATTTTTTTTTCTCTTACCCTTGAAAGGTTTATAAACACCTTTTATAGTGTGAGGTTTCTGAGTTTCACTCCAGGATTGAGAAGTGGTCAGGGGGGAGGGATGGGGGTTACCTTTCATAACTATGAATTAACATCAACAAAGCAGGGCAACAGCAGATTAAGGCTGGTAGGATAAGAGAAAAATGGTTCTTTGTTTGCTGAATTTTACCCCCTTGTTGGTAAACCTCGTGTGGAAATAACTAAGTTTCAATCACTCAGCAAGTGTCATGTGTGCCAACTTAGTAATTTCCCCCTTTGGAAAAGATCCCCCTATTTCACCCCAAGAGAGAAAGATTTGTTAATCTTAACCTGAAGGGAAGATCTTTTATTTTGAAAACACGAGTTTGAAAATTCACTCACTTTTAAAATGAAAAAAACATGTACATTTCATAAATATGTCAGATTAAACTAGTGTGAAAATCAACTGCTGGTTCCAATGTATACTTATGTGTCAGTGTGTAGTTATTGTAGTGATAACTAACAGGGATGTTCTGTATATAATTGTGTTATTTTTTTCCCAGGACAAAATGTAGAAGCAGGAAGAAAAATTTTAGAAGAAAGTAACCTTCCTATAAAAGCAGCTTTTGGATTTGAGGAAGCAGCAAAGTTGGCAGTAGCCAGTGTGAAGTAGAATGTATGAGATTTTGTACAGTGGGTTTTCAGGTATGTCTGTTGCAACATGGTACAGGACTGATGAAAATCATTTGAATTTTTGCCATCAAATTCAGTTTAGAGTTTTTGAGGTTTTTTCCTCTTTAAAAAAATTGGATTCAGAATAATAACAAATAAGAACAATAAAAAATTATTGCATTTTATTGAAATAGATCTTACAAATTTTTATGTTTAAGTTTTGTTTTTTTGGCATTTTCAGATATATTTGCAGTAACAGACACATAGATGTTTAGAAAATATGGTTTAGCCAGGGTTTTATCCATTGGTATGTAGTTGAATAATCGGTTTTGTCAATGATTTGCACACTGAATGTGATCTTTTAAATGATGTACATTGTACAAGGTTTAGAAGGCAGCAAATGTAAATTATATCTGGGAAATACTATGTATAACAGTATAAAATTGTTTTTTAAGTGATACTGTAAATCCATTTTGGAAGTGATAATTATATTTCAACATTTTAATTGCCAATTATGTAAGTGCTGAAGTATTATAATTACTTGATAACAAAAAGCATGTATCATTGTGTTCTAGATAGCTGCAGCACCAAGTCATGATTTGTGTTATCAAAACATTTTCACTAATAGGTTAAAATTTGAGTGTTAAAGTACATCCATTTTTATAGGTAATCAGTGTCATCTTTTCATAAAATTTAGGACTATGTTCTTAAAATAGCAGATTTCTGTTTTTGTGATTTGACCACCATCTCCTGGATGGAAAAACAAGAAGACTTTTTTTAATACTGCCATATTTTTTGTTAGTGTGTTGCATAAGCAAATTCTGAGTCATGCTACGTAGAAATTCCAATATGTCATCTTTTAACATTTTCTTCTACCATTAAGCCATCAATCAGGAATGGTAAAGATTGTTGTCATGGAAAAAAAGCATGTTCAGCATTTTGTCACATCAATGGATTACTATCTAAATGGTATATTGACCATCAGAAACAATGACATCATGAAACAATGAGATTAGATAATAATGACAACGTTAAAAAAATACACCAGAGAATAATGACATCATGAAACAAAGATGTCAGAAAATGATGACATCATTAAACAAGACATCTGAAAATGATGACATCATCAAACAAAGATATCAGACAAAGGTTACATCATGAAGGGATGACTCCAGGAAATGATAGCATCACATCTATGATTTCAACAATTATCATATTGCTAACATTTCTCTGGAATCATATGTTGCTGTCATAAAAATCAACAACAAATAGAGATAAAAATTAGATATGATATCAACAAGAATTGCTGAAGGTAGCTAAAAAAAATATGTCATTGCTATAAAAAAGTATTTTAAACAACTCTTTTCATTATTTTACAGCTGGGTATTCAATATCAGTCATGAATTTGATCCATCTGATGTGTTAGATGATCAGTTAGGAAATTTCATTTGAATTCCAGATCACTAGAAACTATATGTACTCTCAGGGCTTCATAAACATACAACTGATTTGTTTACTGGGGCGTTCTTCTCTGGTTGTTGGTTTGTGATTTGTGATGAAATCATTTTCATAAAATTTGTGATAATTAATTAAATGTGGTGAGAGTATGTAAGATTTACATGTAAAGTCACGGTTTCTTTTCAAGTGAAATCTGAATTATAGAGAAATTGTTGCTTGTAATATGGTAATTAAGGTTCATAAGAATGTAATTAAAGATATTTAATTTGATTTGTTTATACTTGTCATTGTATTTCTTTTTTCTCTGTAATTGTTCAATACAAAATTACTGTGATGTTGATATGTAATTTTAGGGGATATTTTTAATTTTGTTCAGTCAGTCAATACTTATTAGGTACTCATCAGTTCCATATTAAAAGAAAAGACAGAAAGAATGAAATGATGTCATCGTCTTTCAGGGCTTTACCTTAACACATCTACTTGACCTATAGCCATGGTTCGGTTTCTAGTCTATTATTTAATGAATAGTATATGTACTCCAATACAAAATCATAAGTCTTAGGATGATAGATGTTTTACTAGAATATAACTTAGATTATGTTGTGTAATGTTTAATTAACTCACAGCCCTGATGACGGAATTTTGATAATTCATTTAAAATCGCATGTTATTAGCAATTATTATCATTTTTTTTCTTTCTTTTTGTTAACTGCTGAAAAGGTTCTTGAATATTGTTTATTTCATATAAAATAGATCGAACTAGTCATGAAGTTAGTGCTCCCTTAAATGAAAACTTTCGTCACTTATTTCATAAATCTCTATAAATTATAATATTAAATGTTAGCTTTTCATGTCACTTCTGTATAAAAAGAAGTACTTGTTTTAGTAATTCTGCTGTATCATGGAAATCATGTCAACGATTTGAGGGGGAATATTTTTATTCAGACTTTGTGTTTAAATTACTTATGCAAAAAGTGATAGTGATCAATTTCAGTTTTGCCGTATTTCCTTAACATGTAGTTAGAAGGTAATGGGTTCACAGAAACTTTTACTAGAGATGGAAGTAACAATGGTTTAAAATCAAATGTATATATTCAAGAGAAACATATTGTCCAGGGCATTTAAGCTATGATTTAGGGATGAAGATAGAGGATGTTTCTGAAAAGTTACTAATATATATTATCAACATGTTTAGCCTTTCAGTAATTTAAGTACTTTAATTTATGTTGTGATTTCAACAATGACTTCTCAAATCTTCCTACCAACTACAGCCCATCAAAGAAATATCAATATCTATGTTTTTCTCATCAAGTCAATATATTTGTAATGTGAACATTGAATTGAAAATAATTGAACTGATAACCTTTTTGTTTACACTCCTCTTGTGTTCCATTTTGTTTGATAATAAAAACATTGTAATTCAAAATCTAAACTTTTCTAAAATGGTTATCTACAGACCTGAATAGAGATATTGGGCTCTGTGTAGTGTTGGTGTCTCCCTTTCTCTTTGGCTTATGAAACCACATACTCACCTGAACTAGGTCTGTAATTGGTAGAAATAGATCTACTAACTATATATAGCAGTCACCCGTACAAATGGCCCTAATATACTTATGTTACTTCTCCAGAACTATTTGTTATAGTGATCTCTCTCATGTCTTCATCTTCAAGTTCAAGTTCACAACAAGAGGCCAGAGGTCATTTTTTTTAATCAACTTGTTATAAAACTTGAGTATTTACTAGCTGTCTGTTGGGACTTGTGTATTGTATGTCAGTATCTGGTACTTGATGTATTTTTACATAGACTTGCATTGTGAAGGCCTGCTGATTTTGTTATGAATTTATGTCATCCATATGTGTATGAAGTAGTCTTGTATATCCATATAATCACATTACGCAGCTAGACCTGTCTATAACGACCACCCGAGAAGCAAGCCTGTATATAATGTCCACCTGACAGAAATGTCATTGAAAGACATATTTTAATAAACAGGAAGTTGGCTACAGACATGGTTTTATAGGCAGTTTTACTCATTCTATCCCCAAGAGTTACTTCACTTTGTTTAACACTAACAGTAATAATGTATAGCAATTAGCTTGACAGCCAATGGGGGCCAAAAATGTTTCTACAATGGCCTTTACAGACAAGTCTTTGCTTTACAGACAAGTCTTTGCTATATACAATTGCACTTTATAGGTAATTTTGCTATGGGACAATTATTTTTATAGAAAGGTTTTGCTTAACAGGGGTGATTATTGTAGACAGCCTTTTGTATACATGTGTGACCTATATAGACAAGTTTATGCTGTACTGGGGTGACCTTTATAACATATTTATGCTCTACTGGGGTGATCTTTATAACATATTTATGCTAATAAATATTTATGCTATACTGGGGTGATCTTTATAACATATTTATGCTATACTGGGATGACTTTTATAACTGGGGTGACCTTTATAACATATTTATGCTAATAACATATTTATGCTATACTAGGGTGACCTTTATAACATATTTATGCTATACTAGGGTGATCTTTATAACATATTTATGCTATACTAGGGTGACCTTTATAACATATTTATGCTGTACTGGGGTGACCTTTATAACATATTTATGCTATACTAGGGTGACATTTATAACATATTTATGCTATACTAGGGTGATCTTTATAACATATTTATGCTGTACCTTTATAACATATTTATGCTATAGGGTGACCTTTGACATATTTAACATATTTATGCTATTTATGCTATACTGGGGTGACCTTTATAACATATTTATGCTTTACTAGGGTGATCTTTATAACATATCTATGCTATACTGGGACTGGGGTGACCTTTATAACATATTTATGCCATACTGGGGTGACCTTTATAACATATTTATGCTGTACTGGGGTGACCTTTATAACATATTTATGCTGTACTGGGGTGACCTTTATAACATATTTATGCCATACCGGGATGACCTTGATAGACAGAGCTTTTATGTACACAGATTTAGTCTATACCTGCTTTGCTATACATGAGTTATATTATAGAGAGGATTTGCTTTACACAGATGTCTTTTATTAACATGATTTTGTTATACACAGGTGACCAGAATAGACAGGTACATCCTATGCAGTTTTTGCCTTGACTTACAGGTATTCTCTCTAGTGACTGGCATGGGTTGGACAGGTGTTATTATTTTCATTACAGAGGTGTTCTTTGTCGACAGGGATTTGATTCTAGAACATTTACAGGAACCAAATGGGTAAATATGATGATTTATGTAAAAGGATAAATACATATGTGCCAATCAGACAGAATGTGTTTTAGTTTTCATTTCCTTGGATTGTTTAATTGTCATCTAAAATGACATGGGAGTTAACAGACTTTACTTAAGTTATCAGAAGACAGTTCTTCCTAAGAACTAATAGTCTTTTTCAGAGATTTGATCACTTATGAATTCCTTAAGTTTGAAATTGGTCATGTGTTTCTCTGAAACACTGTATTAAATTAATGATACTCAGTTGGTGAGCATCATTGTGATTTGTATATGACATAATTTGAGATGAAAATGATAGCATTTTTGTTTTCAATAAGCACTGGTATCTCTATTACAGTATGTTTTACTGAGATCATTATTCTTATTTCATCAATAAATAAGTAAATAAACGGATAAACAAAATAATATAAGTTGTCAAAGTGGAAACATTTTGCGCATTTTTTGCTCAAATAGCATGGTATCCTCACCAATTATAATAATTAGCTGTTTGTCAGCCTTTCTTGATTCAAAAAGGTGATTGAATGATCGGTACTTCCCATATATAATCATTTATCAGAAAATCGATTTGTTTCATTGTTAGAATGTTATTTCTGTAGGGCCAGAAGAGTGCATGTCTATGAACTTTTTAAATTGTCCCATACTTCAATTAGAAAAGTTTCCGGGACTACTTTAATTTACTTAAGTGTTATTCACGAAATCAAAATGTTCTTCAGCAGTGGAAAGCTTAGACTATCCTCGTGTCATGTTTTTGAAAATTGTTTTAAAGTGACTTAAGAAATTGGATATACCCCTTCATTGTTTTTTTTATGAGATGGATCATTCTAGCTTGACAAACAGTTATAATATTCAACAATACCGTCAGTTTATTCCTTTTTTCTCTCCTCAGTATCGTTTAAATTAGACTTTTAATAAGGGACAAACACGCCTTAAGGGATATAAATTTAAGGTAAAACGATACCATGAAGTCAAAACGGTCAAAGCCAGACGTTTGAACTCTGGAATTTATAGATATTTAAAGTTGAAGGTAAATAGATAAAGTGATAGGTCTGTTGAAGAGGTGTGAACTGTTTGATTCCAGTTGAAGTGACACTAGCATAAAAGCCCCCTGCAATGAACAGTATCGAGTCTCTACAAACTAATTTGTTGTCACCTTGGTGTAAGCGAGACAAATGGATATCGTCTAAACCCCGTTAGGGCAGTGCCTGGTAAGGTTATTTCGTACGTTCACCGATATCTGTGTTTTCAAGTTCAACACGGAACAAGATACAAATCTGCGAAAATGTTTAGTCATAAATAACATGACATACGAAAACGTTATGTGTGTGTGGGTGTGTACATTTTATTATTTTAAAACTGAACTAATTATCGAAATTATAACTTTCAAATCACACTTTGGTTTCAATAATTTTATATTAATTAACAGTTGTTAGGGGATAATCATAGGTAGTACCACGGAAAACACCATTGCCATCTCCAAAATATTTGCATCGCGTCTTAAAATCGTCAAAAGAGTAGAGACCGGAGAAAAGGTTTCATTGAAGGCAAGTTTTGTTTTAAGGTCGTGTCAAGTTGTAATATCAGACATGTCAACTAAACCACCCACTATCAAAAGATTACAGGATATGATCAGAGTGTCAATCAGATGATGTACATTTAGGTGTGGAGATAATGAATATTTGTTTTTAACAACTTCAGTGCTGTTTTTTTTCATTTATCGTGATTATGGATAAGTTCGTAGCTTTACAAATCAGGCTTAATATTTCATTTGAGATGATATCGCAAGATAACAACAACAGATCGTATAAATTATGTTCTAATTAATTAACCGGATCTTTATAAGTACTCATGTTGTGGTTATAGGCCTAACAGTCACTTCGTTAATGTAGGGAGTCAATCCATTAACGATGAACTGCTGACATTGGCAGGTTATGATCAAAACATCCGGT